CAGATATTCGAAACGACTACCAACAACTGAAAGACAAACTTCAAACTCAGGAGAAGATTTGTCAAGCTTTAAGTATAATGTTAAACTTGGTCGAACACAACCCTGTAAAAGTGAACTCATATGTCATTGCACCTCATGAAGTCTTGAAAGAACTATTGAAACTTTTGACAGAGGCAGACGATATAAACATCAAAGAAATAGAACCCGACATTAGTTGCTGTGGTGTTTCATATAATGTCATTGACAAGATATACGTTATGAAAGGAGGTGAAACGTTGAACTTAAAGTATAGTTTCCCAGACGTCATAAAAATATTTGACGACCACAACATTTCATTAAAATTTATTTGCTAAGTAAAAATGTCAAAACTTCTTGAAAGATGTTTGAAGAAAAATAATATAGACTTTATTTCATGTAAAGACTTTACACACTTTTGAACGATATGAAAGACCCTGTTTTGTTTGTTCGTGTAGACAAAGGAAAGTTCTATGTCTTTACAAAATATTTGAACTTCTTAGACAGAGAACTTCAAGAAACGCCATGTGAAAGTTTAGATGAAGTTCTTCTCCACTTTCAGAAAAACTTTTAAATATATATAAATGGCAGAAGATATAATGGTTTATACTATTACGACTAAAAACCCTGAGTCATATAATTCTATAACAACAAACTTACAAAGTCCTCAAGGACGATATTGTAAACTAACTTTAAACACAATGACGACTAAAGCCTGTTTTGCTCTTTTGACAACAGAAGATTTTATTGTTGTGAATGGTAAAAAATACTCCTTTGAAGATACTTACTCAGATATACCACCAACAGGTTTTGTTGACTTATTTAATACTTTAAGGACGGGTGTAACATGTGCTGCAACTAGAGCAGGTTTCATTATGTTTGGATGTCCGACTGAGTTTACTATAAACAATATGAGCTATAATACAAAACTTATTTCTGGTTTTTACTACCAACAGTTTCCTATAACAGGAAAAGTGTCATACAAGGAATGTCTATTCCATTGACATTAAGCACACCAATCTTATATATTGTTTCAAACTTAGGTTCAAAGTGTTATTCGAATGTCGACAGAAACTATTATGACCAAAAGATACTTATGCGTATAAACAATACTTTCTCTGCTGGTTTGCCTATTGTTCATTCGAATGCAGAATTTTCAACCTTAGTGAACTCAAACACTTTGGCAAGTATAACGTTGACATTAGTTGACGCAAACTTTGTTCCTGTAAAACTTTTATGTCCTATGTATTTGTCAATGACGGCAGAAAGTTTCGAATTGGAAGATGCAACTGGTGAAAGTATTGTATTACAAGAACAACTTCAACAACAAATAGCTCAAGAACAACAAATGCAACAAATGGAACAACAAAGTCAAGAATAAAAAAAAATTTTTTTTATTTTTATAAAAATGTACAGAATAGATGTTTCAGATTTTTATGACTTCCAAGCATTCAGAAATATGTGTCCATTTCGAGACTATAACAAAGCAGTCGAGAATTTGAAACGTTTAGTCATTTATGTTGACTCTGCCCCAGAATGTTATGTCATGAAAGAATGGGATGTTGTCTTTAACAAACCAAGAGCAACAATAGTTTCAGAACAAGAATGTAGACAGAAACTTAAGAAAATAAAAGTCGTACAAGTTGGCATGAAGATGTTAGATGCTTGGGATATCTTATTGTCAAAGTTAGAAGATTTTTCAGTTCGAGGTATAAAGTTCTATACACCTTCTCCAAACTTCTATTCTATCTTCACTGGATATAAATACGAACAAGTAGAATGGAAAGAAAATATTATAGAAGCTTGGTTAGACCATGTCAAAGAAATTATATGCAATGGAAACGAAAAGGTTTATGAGTATATCTTATGTTGGTTTGCAAATATCTTACAACATCCAAGTGCTAAAAATGAAACTGCTCTCATTATAATTGGAAAACAAGGAACTGGTAAGAACACATTCTTTACAGATATCTTATGCAAACTATTAGAGGCTATTCGAACCCTAATATGACAAACTTAGAAAACATCTGCGGTAAATTTAACTCCTCAATAGAGAATATGAAACTTATAGTTTGCAATGAACTTCAAAGTATAGATACAACAAAAGTTTTGAACTCAGATGCTTTGAAGAGTCTTATAACAGATAAAGTTGGAGTTGTTGAAAGAAAGTATAAAGACCAAAGAGTTTGTGAAAATGTTGCAAACTTCATTATGGTTTCAAACAATACTGTTCCGATGAAGTTAGAAAGTTCTGACAGAAGATATGTAGTTGTCAGAACGTCAGCTTCTCATATGCAAGATACAGAATATTTTGACGACTTAGCAGAAACTTTGACATCTGACTTTTACAACCACTTGTTCTCATATTTTATGACATTAGATATTTCTAAGTTCAATCCAAGACAAATTCCACATACCGAAGAGAGACAAACATTGTTAGAAGCAAACAAGAGTGTATATGAACTGTTCATAGATGAAACTGACTTTGTGTCATTAGATGAAAGGTCATTGTACGATTCGTATAAACAATATTGTCAAGAATATGGTTATATGGCAGCTTCTAAACGTACATTCTTGGCAAATGTCAAAAGTCTTTTAGACGTACAGAATGGTGTATATACAAAGAAAAATTTTTCTGAGTAAATTTTAAAAAAATTTTTTTTATCCGATAGAAAAGATGACGAAATATATTTCAGTAAACAAGTACATGTCAGGACTTAAAGAAGAACTAGACCCATTCACATATTTGAATGTTTACTTCTACCATTTTGAAAAGTCTTCATTCAGCAAAGTTTGGAACATCGAACCAGTTAAGTTTGCTATTGTGACTAAAAATGGTGCGAAATTTGAAGACTTAGACATAGAAGGTTTGTTAGCAGTCAAAGAAAATTTTGACAGAAGGTTCTCAAACCTTAAAGAAGGCAAAGCATACAAACTTGTTATACCTTATGAACCAAAGAAAGCAGACGACTATGAATATTATGAGTCTAAAGTTGTAGAAGTTCAAGGTAAATTGGGTAAAAAGATTTTAGAGTCTAAGCCAGTGTTTACTCCTAAAGAGGAAGAGAACATTGACATTGACCCAGAAATGTTCTAAAAATAAAATTTTATTTTTACATGTCATATCTCCCCTTCTCTGGAACTGGTTCAGGTTCTTTCTTCTCTTCTTCTACTTTCTTTTCTTTCTTTCTCTCTTCTTCTTTTCTGGTGGAGTTATGTCAAATTTGGCGCAACCATATTTATGTAAAAGTTCTTTGTCCTTTAATAGCTCATCTATTCTGTTTTTTATTTCATCTTCAAGAACAGCGCATGTGTCTTCTTTGCATTCTAAGAAGTTTTGTTGGACTTCATCTCTCCAATCGGCGTCATCTCTGTCAACAAGTCTGTCATTGACAAATTTTAAGACTGCTCTTTGTAATGTTTTATGGTTCTTGTCATATTCCCAGAAACAGAACTTTAGAACAAATTCACCTTTCTTGTTTACACTATGTAAGATTTTATGGTCGACAGATGTTTTGCTGTCAAAAAGCTTGTCTCGAATATAGATAGCGAAATCGCTAGACATTTTCTAAAAGATAAAAATTTTAATTTTTCTAAAAATATGTTAGAAAAAAAGTTTGCTGACATTGACAAGAAATTTGAGAATGTTTTAAATAAGAACAAAGAAAGTTAGAAAATGCTCAGATAAAGCCTATACATGACAAGTTCTTATTTGCTCAGAATGGTATAACAGGTCTAATTGCACCACCTGGGTCGGGTAAGACTTTCACTTATCTTAAAATGGCTGCACAACAACAAGAACTAGATGAGAAGAACCCATTTTATGAGTTAGTTGTCATTTGTAGTACTTCTGGTCAATTTGACCAAACCGTCAATTCGTTCAAAGATATTATAAAGAAGTCTAAGTTAGTATGTATAAAAGACTCTGAGTTGTTGGATTGGATAAAGAAGTACCAAAGAAGAGTTTTGAAGTACAATGCTATAAATGAGTATATAAATTCTAAGTTTAAAGACCCAAATGAGGAAATGCAGAGAATATTAGAGAAGAAACACTTCAGAAACAAACAGAAAGAGATAGAATACATTTCGAAGAAATTGCAATCTTACGATTGGAAGACTTACCCTCATAGATGTCTTCTTATCTTAGATGATTTCGCCTCTCATCCTTTGTTAAAGAATAGAGAACAAGATATGTGTCGAATTCTTAAGAAGCTCAGACACTTTAACATCTCAGTTGTCATTTGTGTACAGACAGCAAAGAGTTTAAGTAAGGATGTTAAAAGAATACTGACTGACATTATACTTTTCCCCGGATTGTCCGAAGACGATTTCATGGAACTTATGAAAGAGTCCATGGCAGGTAAGTTTGACAGACATGAACTATGGGAGAAGTACAAAGTCATACAAGACCCTCATACTTCTTTCAGAATTCATATCTACGCAAACAAAGTTCAAATTGTTTCAAGACAAGCTTGAAAAATCTAAGTGTTTAGTCTTAGTAAGTCTGTTGTGGTGCTGGGGCTGTCGGTTCTTCTGGCTTTGGAAGACATTCAGGAAGAGGAACGTCAGTCATCCGTTTGTGTCCTGTCGGAAGGAAGAACTTTTCCTGTTGGAAGGAAGAACTTTTCCTGTTGGAAGGAAAATTTTTTTCCTGTCGGATGGAAAAATTTTTCCTGTCGGATGGAAAATTTTTTTCTGAAGTTCGACCAAAAAGTTCTCAATTTTCGAAAATTTGAATGGTTTACGGACGGACAACTGGAAAATTTTTTCTTGTCGGATGGAAAATTTTTTCTTGTCGTCGGGAAAATTTTTTCTGTCGGAAGGAAAATTTTTTCCTGTTGGAAGGAAGAACTTTTTCTTGTCGTCGGGAAAATATTTTTCTGTCGGATGGAAGGACTCGGAATGCCAGAAGGATTTGACAAGGCAATTTACTTTATAGAGCTACCTGAGCCATCTGAAGTCAAGCGTAAAAATAAATGGTTCATTTACTCTACTTGTTTGAAGTTGTCAAAATACTCTGTTATTTTTTCCTTTAACAATGGCAAATCTTCTTTGAAGGTAAGTATTGTACAACCTTTAATATCATAGTGTGTTTGAGGTAACGTATCTTGAACTATTTGTTTCACATCTTCATTCGGTGTCATTGAAATCGGTAAGTTTTCGCGATAGAACCAATTTCTGTCAGATTTGTAAATCTTAGCAAGGTCGTAAAAGCTTTTGTTGTTTCTTCTGACTAAATGCAACATAACCATATCTTTATCTTCTTCATTTTCCATCTCTTCAGTATAAATCATATACTTATAGTTCTTTTCCTTTCCTTTTGGTACCGAACGTGGTATTCTTTTCTGAATGCTTTTGTCTTTTGCTTCAAGCTTGTTCTCTAGCTCTTCACGTTCTTGTCTATGAATTTCATCTAACATCATGAAAATATAACAAGCGTAACGAGGTGAAGCCCACATTGCAACAGCATTTACTAAAAGTCTATGAACATAATATCCTCTCAAACCATTTAGCAAATTTTTACGATTTTCGTACGGAATCTCGACCCTCGGTTTTCCGAGGGTCGCAAACATATGAGGAAATTCTTCTAAAAGTTCTTTTGTCTGTTGGTTTTCAAACCAATGATATGCTTGCTTTGTAGAACGAAGAGCGTTCAAAATACTTTGCATTTGGTACATATCGTCTTTGACCGAACGAATGAGACGGAGTTGTTTGTTAAACTGTATGTACTCGTATTCTTCATTTATGGCTTCATGGACTATAACTGTTGTTGTGTTCTCTGTTGTTGACATATCTGTCTTTATATTCCGGATAAAAAAAATATTTTATAAAAAACTAACTTTATTTTTTCTGTCTTAAGGAAATTCACGATTTTCATAGAGTTTTGGCGACCAGGTTTTTTTCCCTGGTCGCTGTTCTTCACGATTTTCATGTGTTTTAGGCAAGGCCGGTAAAATCCGGTCTAGAGAAATTTCACGATTTTCATGAGTTTTATGCAAGGCCGGTAAAATCCGGTCTAGAGAAATTTCACGATTTTCATACGGAATCTCTTCTCTCGGTTTTCCGAGGGAAGCAATCTTATGCCATTTTACTCAGATTTTTGTGCTGAATTCAGCAAAAATATATTTTAGGGTAGAAGGTTAGATCTAACCTCTTTTCTAACCTCTTTTCTAACCTCTTTTTTTCACAACCGTTTTACATGGTAAACGTTATTTTTACATGTATTTTTCAGCAACTTCGTCAAATAATTTTATAGCTTTATCTATCTCATCTACTTCAAACGTTTCTTTACCTTTTATGGGAGCACCATACATTTTCTCAAACTTTTCAAGTAGTTCTGTTTCTGCAGCTCTCATATCGTTAACGAACACAACCTTAACTCTATTGACTGTACTGTCATATCTTTGAGTTATATTATATGTTCTTCCTATCTTATATCTCTTTGTATTGAAGTCCTTCGGTTTCTGAACGATGTAAAGTAAGCCTTCACTGCAACGTTCTGAGTCGAATAAACCATATGTTATGAAGTTATATCCAACAACTGGGTCTAACCATAACAAAACTATTGGTATAAGACTTTTGTCAATGAGATATGCTGCAGTTCCATAGAATCTTACCGATATCATAAGCTCAGGATTTCTTGTCAAAATTTTCTGAGTAGAAGCAATTTTAACCCAGTCCTTCGGTTTCTTTCCAAATGGAGATAAAATGTCTGACAAAGAATATTTGTTGTATTTCTTTGAGTATCTTACGTTTAAATCACCAATTCTAACCAATTTAGTGTTATTGTCTATCTTTTTAACTGTTTCAAACTCAATGTTTGTCATTTCTGTTCTTACATACAAAATAAAAAAAATATTTTATAAAAAACTAACTTTATTTTTTCTATCTTAAGGAAATTCATGATTTTCATAGAGTTTTGGCGACCCAGAAAAAAAAAAACGGTCTCGCTGTGCTTCATGATTTTCATGTGTTTTAGGCAAGGCCGGTAAAATCCGGTCTAGAGAAATTTCACGATTTTCATGAGTTTTAGGCGACTAAGTTTTTTTCCCTGGTCGCTGTTCTTCACGATTTTCATGTGTTTTAGGCAAGGCCGGTAAATCCGGTCTAGAGAAATTTCACGATTTTCATACGGAATCTCTTCTCTCGGTTTTCCGAGGGAAGCAATCTTATGCCATTTTACTCAGATTTTTGGTCATTTTTCAGCAAAAATAATGTTTAGGGTAGAAGGTTAGATCTAACCTCCTTTCTACCCTCTTTTCTCACCTCATGAATTTTCATGATTTCATCGTATATGTTTTGTCAAGACTTCTTCATCGTACATTCTTTGTCATGATTTCATCGAAACTAAACGTATATGTTTTGTCAAGACTTCTTCATCGTAATGAGCGTAAATCAGACAAAAATATATTTTAGGGTAGAAGGTGAGATCTCACCCGTTTTCTCACCCGTTTTCTCACCTCAGTTATTTTATAAGCGTTTTACATGGTAAACGTTATTTTTTAAATTTTGTGAAAACTCAACGGTTTGACACAAGCCCTAAAAATTATTTTACTCAGAATTTTGTTGCTGAATTCAATAAAAATAATGTTTAGGTGAAGAGGTGAGATCTCACCTGTTTTCTCACCCGTTTTCTCACCTCAGTTATTTTATAAGCGTTTTACATGAATTGTACGATGTATATTTGAAATCTTAAACAGTTTCGTAGCTTCTATTTCTTCGCTGAGGATATCGAATGTTTTAACAATGCCGAAAGTTTCTTTATACTTCTTCTTGACGTCAGATAAAAGGAAATCGTCAGCAGTTGGATAGTTTTTGTTCAGAAATTCTAACATATCCATTTTATCTTCTGCTGGCTTTTCTGCTTCTTTCTTTAAGTCTGCATAGTCGTTTCTCATTCTTTCTATCTCTTTGACGGAGTAGTTATATTTTCTTATTGCTGCTTTACATTTTGAACATTGCGGGTTCATTTTAGCGTTATATTCTGAAACCTTACCTGCTAAAACAACTAAAGCGTCAATTGCTCTCTTCATCTCAAAAGCAGTTGGTTTTATCTGTTCATTCCATACCTTACCTCTTCTATCTTTATCTCTTATCTGCCATACACATTCAGCAACTAACGAAACAAAGTTGTCGTAGGTCTTAAATTCTTCAGATTTATATATGTCAGAAATATTTTTATATACCATGTCGCAATCTTTGTCCATAACTTTATGGTTGCAATGAAATCCTAGAAACTCATAGTTTACCTTTCGTATGAACTTCTTTATTTCTACTGAGTCAGTTGCTTTGACTTCTATTTCATCGAATTCAGGAATAGTGAGTTTTTGTTGCTGAATTTCAGGCAATTTGGGTAAATGGTCAATAATGTCCTGCATTTCATAAAGATACTGTTCATTTGTTTCATCTTTCGCACTACAGTCTAAATTACTTGTTAAAAGTTCTTGCTTTATCTTCTGGATTTCTGTTTCGAAAGTATATGAAGAAGGAATGAAGCTTTTCATTTCTACTAACATAGATGTTGGATTCATGACTAACGAGTTTGGTGCTGTTGTTGCTAACATGTTCTTACAATAAAAATAAAAAATATTTTTTTAAAAAAACTAACTTTATTTCATCTGTCTTAAGGAAATTCATGAAAATTCAACGGGTGAGAAAAGAGGTGAGAAAAGAGGTGAGATCTCACCACTTCACCTAAACATTATTTTTTGGTGTAAATTTCATGATTTTCGGGAAAATTCAAGAGGGTAGAAAAGAGGGTAGAAAAGAGGTTAGATCTAACCTTCTACCCTAAACATTATTTTTGCTGAATTCAATAAAAATAAATGGTTCATTTACTCACAATATTTTTTTACAAAACGACCCCAAACTTTTAACTTCTTTTCTCCAGCGTCAAATGCTATCTTAGCGAGTTCATATTCTCTAAATTCTCTCTTTAAATCTTCTTGTTCCCATTGGTCTAGTTCGTATGGAGAATCTCTATAACCATAACATATCTCGCGTTCATGTTCTAATTGTTTTCCGCACATTTTTCCAACTTCTTCTTCAAACAAATGTTTTGCATTTTCTACTGTATCTTCAAGTTCTTCTTCATCTAACTTCTCATGAACTTTCTTGTCTATGGAGTCCATAATTTTTCAACTGCTATGCAATATTTTGGAGAAGCCCACATTGCTATATAGTTTATAAGTCTTGGGTCTACATACGTTCCTCTAACCTGTCTGATTTCATCAGGAATTCCTGCATGAATTTTGTATAAAAACCAACCGCCGGAATTCCGGCGGTTGCTATATTCTTCACAAAATGCCTTATAATACTCTTCCCAGGACTTATTTTCCAACAACTTTCTAAAGTCTTTCCTAAACTGCTGACACATATTTGTTGCATTTATATAACCATCCTTGTCTCTACGTAAGACTTCAATACCGTTATAAGTGCCTTTTGTGAATGTTTCGCCATTATATTTGTTCGTGAATGTTTTTGCTTCGACTGACATATCTGTCCTTACATACAAAATAAAAAAAATAAAAAAATAAAACTAACTTTATTTTTTTTTATCTTAAGGAAATTCATGAAAATTCACGAGGGTAGAAATGAGGGTAGAAAAGAGGTTAGATCTAACCTTCTACCCTAAATTATATTTTTGCTGAATTCATGAGTTTTGGTTGAAAGAATACGGTGGAGCCAAAAGTGGCTCGACCTCAAAACAAGCATTTTGTGAAGAATAATACAAAATTCAACGGGTGAGAAAAGAGGTGAGAAAACAGGTGAGATCTCACCTTCTACCCTAAACATTATTTTTGTGCTATGTTTTCTGTATAAAATTCATGAAAATTCAAGAGGTTAGAAAAGAGGGTAGAAAAGAGGTTAGATCTAACCTTCTACCCTAAACATTATTTTTCAATACTTTTTCAGCACTTTTCCGTAGTTATATATGAAAGACAATTCGAGATAAAAGTCATAGTACAATGGAATAATATGTTGCACACCATTTGTTGTGAACCAAACTTGAAAGTCAGAGAAACTGTTACTAGGTGGTTCGTAGAATTTAGAAGCAAAGTCATAAAAGTCCTTACCAATACATAGAAAACTATTGTTGCTTGAACTGAAACTTGCATGACACATAACATTTTGAGGGTCAAACACGTTTCTATAAACTGTCAAATTTTGCTGGTGGAAGTATAAATTTAAATGGACCATCTGGTGGTAATGGTTCGTTCTGGTTTAGTAACCGAAGAAATTGTGCCCAAGAACGTTTGTCTACTTCCCAAAATAAAAACTCTGTATCTCTGGAGGGTTAATTTCAATCTTTTGAAAATGAAACGGTGGAGTTCATCTTGTCATATTCTAGTTTCAGATAGTATGTTTCCATTTAGTAAAGAGTCGTATTTTTTTTGAAATTCCCAATAATATTTGTTCATTTGAGTTTGAAAGTCATTTAGAGTTTTCTCAAGACTTTCGTCTGAACGAACTGTAAAGATTCTCATTTCGTCAAATTTGTCTATTAGACCATCAGAACCTTTATACTGCCCATGAAAATATACTGCGAACATAAATGCGTTAGTTCTATTTTGAAAACAAAACTCTTCTAAATCCTATTGCCTTTGCATCTGAAGGACTTTGAAGCCAACGAATTGGATAGTCAAACCTGTATGTTCGGGATGAAATTTCTTCATCTGATATTGTCCTACCAGCATTTGTAAAGATATAGTCTAACGGTTTTGTATCTGCTACTTTTGTTCTTTGTTTTTCAACCTGAAGCATTTAATATATGTAAAAATATATTGTTTTAAAATAGTATGCCATATAGCTTCTTGAATTTGTTAAGAAGTATTTGAACGTTTTTTCCATCTGTATCTCTAGTGTTTACATAAGCATAGCCCGCCTTAGTAAAATATACTTGTAATTTCCTATAGTTTACGCCGGTATAAAAGTAGAAAAGAGTCTTGTTCTTCGCTATAGTAGTAAAACTCAAACGTATGCTTGCCATAGTCTGTAATTTCAATTGTTTCATCTTCTAGTTCGTCGACAAATTCGAATACAATATCTCCAAATTTGCCTTTGTTCTTATTGTTTTTCAGAACGAGTGACCCAACGTAAGTTTTCAAGTCTATTGTCGTTTCTTATACGGTTATATGGTCTACAAAAGGTAAATTGTTAGGATTCAGTATAAAATGAGTTGCAATGACAACATGTTTAAGATAGTGTTTTCCACCCATCTTCATAACAGCATATCCGTTATTTCGCTCCCATTCGCTTAAAACTCTTTTTGTCTTTTTGTTTCTGACTTCAAATGACTCACAACAGTGAATTTCATATTTCTCATCTAACAAACAAGTTTCCCAACGGTCTTCTCCAACAAACTCAGCGTACATTTCAAATAAAATAAAAAATGTCACTTTTTTAAAATAAATTTTTACTTCATGCAATGCTCACTAACATCGAAAGGCATGTCCATAAGACGTTCTTCTTCTAACCTCTCTAGTCTGTTTGGATAATTTGCACGTGCTGTTTCCAAATCCATTTCGTAGCGAGGACCAGACAATTTGTCATAGACTTTTATGGGTCTTCCCTTCCTATATTTAAAATTCTTCGAAACTCTCCAACCATATCTTTTGTAACTCTGCTTTTATTCTAGCAGACTTTCTATCCATTCTATATGGGGCATTTTTATAAAAATAAAAAAATATTTTTTCTTTACTTTACATAACCGCCTGCTGCCATAAGTCTTTGACGCCAACCCATACCAGCTAATGAAGGTTGACTTGGTTTAGTTTCCAAACTAAACTTTGGTTTTGGTTTATCTTCAGTTTTTGGTTTCTCTTCTTCTATCGGTTTTTCGTCACTTTTCGGTTCCTCTGACTTTTCCCCACCTGCAGGAACAGTTGTGTCGTTAACATCTTCATAAATATCATATGCCATTTGTTTTTTGTTTTCCTTTCAACTTTTTGTGTTTTTGTAAAGTTTAGAATATTTCGACTCTAAGTCAATGAGATGTTCTATAATGAACTGTTGGTCAGTGAAGTAAACTTTTCCATCTGTTGTCTCGAAAGCTCCTTCAGACTTCAATATTTTATTTGTGAGAGTCTGTTTCTTTTTTGAGATACTAGCCGTTCCATTTCTATGAAAAGTGACTTTATAGTTAGGGTTTGTATTTCCAGACCTGGCACTTTCTATTATTGAATTTTTCTCTTCATCTGTAAGTTCTTTGACAGGTTTTGACAATGGTTCTGAACTTTTTGTTTGTGGTGTCAAATCTACCGTTTCAACTTCTTCGGTCATTTCATCTCAGTAAAAAATTTTAGTTTGGTTTGTTTTCAACTGGTTGTTTAGGTTTTTTAAAGTCGGTCTAAAACTTCCTGAGGTATAGGAAGAACTTGACAAACACGTTGTTGTAACTGCTGGAAGTCGACAAATCCATCTTGAACCCATTTGTCTCAATGCTGTATTGTTCATTTCATCTCAGTAAAAAACTTTACATTCCCAAGTTTGAGGTGGTTGCGGTTGTTATTGTTTTACCCACTGTTGTTCATGGTTATATCCTCTGTTTAAAGAATCTTTCACCTTGGTCCATATAGTGTCCTGCTTGGTTATAGTAGTCATTTGCTTTGTTATAATAGTTTCCTGCTTGTCTTCCTACATTGTCCATCCATCCTTGAACTTTTCCTCTTGTTTCAGGATTTGGAATAGATTTGCTGCATCTCGTGCTACATCCCAACCTTTCTGTACAGTTTGTATAATAGGTTGTGCTTTCTCTTTAAGTATACCTAATGTACTCAAAATCTTCCTTCCAACTCCAAATACACCTCTGGCTATTGTTCCCACTGCGGGCAAAAAATCTGGATGCAACTCCTGCTAATGCGCCAAATAAACCCATTTCTTATGGGTAAAAAATGACGAATCCAAACAAGGACCCCTATGTTTCTAAGGCAACAAAGAAAGCACTCATGATAAAAATCTTTAGTTCAACACCAAATGCTTGGTTTATGGATATCTTGGAAACATTCCGAGGTATAGAGAAGATGGACCTCCATACTGGCTAATATTGTCGGTCAAAACACAAGATACTGTGAAGCCATACCATTATGGTCCAAAATATTTTAGATGTGAAAACTGCTTTGACAATATTCGTTGACAAATACCATCCAACAAAACTGACATCTGACTGTGAAGTTTTCAAATCAGATGATAAAAAAACTATCTGCGTTCAAAAAATGTAAACCAATATTTCATTGTCGACCAAAAACCATTCTGCTCTTGGTGTCATTGACGGTTGTATAAAAATGTTAAGAGACTTAAACCAACCACAAGGTGGTGAAGCAAATGAAATGTCATATGACGACAAATATAGACACTTCTCCATGGCAAAGATGAGACAAGTTTTAAATATTTACAATAGCCGTAAACAAAAAGGTTTGGGAAACCACTCCCCCGAAGAAATGAAAAACAACCCTGACTTAGAGAAAGACTATATATTTAATAATTTAGTCAAAAGAGACAAACAAGAAAGAATGCCGGGCTTCAAACTTCAGAAAGGTGACAAAGTAAAAATAGAAATACCTAAACGCGACCCATATGAAAATACTATTGACTATGACAACAATGGGAACTCGACAGGTACTCACATTCGTGTTCGTAAAAATAGAAGAAAGTATACAAGAGAATATTATGAAGTTTTAGGCAAACATGGCAAAATGTACACACTGCAAGCAGAAGATAAAACTACTATTGTCAGACCTCGTTTCAAACTTGTCAAAGTTCAAGGTGGTATACTTTCAAAGACAGTTCCTAACAAATATAAGACAACTCCTGACCAATATGCTAAAGAAGTTGAAAATGACGACTAAGCAATTCTATACCATGCGTAAACTGTCATGTAAGGTGGCATATATTCTTTACTTTGTCCGTTGTTTTGCGTATATCCTGAAACGAAATGTGTATGGTTTCCTTCTCCCTGAGTGTCATCCCAGTAACAATTTATAGCAAACTTAACGTCGTCTTTAACATCATATCCTTGACCTTTTGTCATTCTGACAATCCCAATATCTATGCTTATGCCAACCTGCTTGAGATGTACTTAAATCTATGTAGTGACTGTGTGCAGGTAAATTTTCACCTGAAATCGTTTTACTTCCACTGTTTCCTTTGAAGAGTTTGCACAATACAAAAACCTGTCGACTATTTGTTCCCATGCACCAACACCAAACATTACTTGAGGACCTCTTGCTTCCATAGATGTATAAATAGAACCTACTGGGTTCATTAAATCAAACATATGAGATATTATAGGATTGTCTCTTTTGAACTTAAAATATAGTGCAACTATTTCAGGTTTCTTCTGGTTTGTGTCAGAATATTTTTTATAATATAATCTTATGTTTTCAGGGTAGGTAAAATCTTGACTATAATATTTATTTCTGTCATCTTCATAATAGTATACTATTCTCGTTTTTTTATTGCATTATATCTTTTATATCTATAATATTCTAAATATAATGTTTGCTTTTTTGGGTCTACATGTGCGTCAACACCATAGTCATAATAATATGGTGCTGGAGCTGGGTTAGGTAATGTCATATCTGTCATTTCATAAACTCTTAAATATTTCTTTGTTCGTCTCCATATAAGTTTAAGTAGCAGTTGTTGTCTAATGGAACTTTAACTTGTGTACCATCATTCTTTATATAGCCTACATACATTTCATTGTTATTTTTCGGAATGAGTTTATACCGTATACCATTTTTTAAGGAGTGTACAAACTCCCATCTAAAATATTTGTTTTCTTCATTGACAGAAAAGTCACCAAACAATAGTTTCAATATTTTTCGTTGTTCCTATCAAACTTTGGTATATTTCATTGACATATGTTTTATCTGCTTTCTTTTCAAGGCTAACGTTTAAGTCTGTTATTTCAGAAGATGTATGTGTATGTCCAACGTCACTTTTCCTGTTTAAGGTTTCTTGTAAGTTTGTAATATTTGCAATGGTATGTGTATGTCCAACGTCACTTTTCCTGTTTAAGGTTTCTTGTAAGTTTGTAATATTTGCAATGGTATGTGTATGTCCAACGGCACTTTTACTGTTTAAGGTTTCTTGTAAGTCTGTTATTTCAGATATAGAATGTGTATGAGTCTTTTTAGAATATTCGTTTTCAGCTCTTGTCACTTCACTTGACATTTTATTGTCAACATATGTTTTGTCCGCTAGTTCAGGATGAGTATGTTCTTTCGTTGCATATGTTGCATCTGCTCTGTCATGTTCTTCTTGAACTTTTTCAATGACATATTCTTTGTCAGCTTTGTTGTCAACATCCGTTTTCAAAAGAAGTTCATTTATAGGTTTCTCGTTTAAAGTTCCTTTTGTTGGATTTATACAGACAGTATGGTTCTTATTGTCTTGAAACAGAAACTCATCTGTCATTGGGTTTAATGTCAGTTTTAAGTTTCCTTCTTTCAATGACTCAGATATCTTAGAATAGTTTGAAAAGTTTGTTGTGTTCTTATTTAGAGCTTGTATAATGAGTTGTCGGTTGTGTTGTATTTCTCTCATAGACGCTGTTTCATTTGACATTTTTATTCTAGATAAAATATGCTTCCAATAGAAAAAGAAAATTCAAGAGTTGCTACAACTAAACCATTAGATGAACTTTTTACTAATGTCGGTCAAAAGTTTGAGACAGAGACCGTAAAGCATGAAGGCTATCGTTTTGACTACCCATTAAGATGGTTAAGAGACCCATCTGTCACAAAAGCTATTGGCTTTCGTAGAATGAAGTTTGTGTCTGTAGAAGATAAAAGTTTTCCATTTATTGTAAGGTTTCATATAGATTATATATCTGAAGGGAAACGAAAAATGTGGGAAGAAATTGAGCTAATACAAGTTGACCTTTCATCTTCTCTACAGACTGCGTTAAAAAATATAGAAGATAAAATAAATTCATGTTATGCAAAATATGCTGATGAATATGCAAATACCGAGAGCACACTTTATGTGAGAATTGTATATGACAAACAAAATTCACAAGTGTCATTTCAAATCTACGAAGACAATCCAAAGAAAGACGAACAAATATATACAGAATTCACTGCAATGTCATGGTATTATTTCAAAGAATGTTAAATCAGAAAGTCGAACTTCTTTAGCAAATATTTACAGTCGATATGCAAGAGATGAACCATATTTATTTAAAGATGTTTTCGACCCAGCTGCTATTATTGTTCATGCTTCATTTTCTGGCGCCAAAACTCTTTCTTATGCTTGGCAAATGAACTTTTACGAAAACCTACAAGTTATACGAACCACCAAGTGGAAGTATTTCAGACTTTCAAGTATGGTTTACTACAGATGGAAGAAAAAGAATAATTCCATTATACCATGCGTTTTACTTAGAACTAGTTTCATATACAACTACTATCGAACGGTAAAAATATAATTTTTTAATACGGTTGAGGTGTTGGATTTGGTTGCCAACTAGACTGTGGTGCAGGTTCAGGCTGTTGTATAACAGGAGCTTGTTCTTCTGGTTCAGGGTCTTTAGGTATAATACCAACAACTGACCTACCCTTTTACCAATATTTTTTTGACACCGTTCCAAATTCTCTTCCTACGGTTTTTATTCCATTCCAATACTCTTCCAACATTTCGAAAGAAGTTTCTCTATCTTACTGAAGAAACCCATTTTACTATATGTAAAAATCTAATGTCGCCTAGTCTCTTACGTTTCCTGTTGAGTTCCATAGCATTCTTTAACTGGAGCTCATACATTCTGTTTCTCCTCTGGTAAAAACATATTCTGGGTCAACTCCTGTGTTCGCGTCATCTGCATAAAGTTGTTTATATCCCACTTCAGGGTTTGTATAAACTCTTTCCATCTCATATTTGCATACCATGGTGGCAAACCTAACGCAGCGTCATTTGACATGGCAGTTTGCATTTGTACATCTGTTGGCACTTGACCATAGTTTGCCATTGCAGTTTGTATTCTAACTTCATTTGGAATATTCTCTGGGTTTGGTTGTCCAGGTTGCTGTGCATTCGCTAAGTTCTGTGCGTCCATTTAATATTAGATAAAAATATCTCTTACGAGTACATATGCTGAACATTTGCAGGCATTGGTTCATCTTCATATTCTCTGTACTTTTGCCAACGTCAAATAAATAAATGAACACAATGGAAAAAACTAAACACAAGTCCTATTTCAAACCACATTTACTTACTAATAAAATTTCTTTGTTATGACACTTTCTCCAGTTTATAGGACTCTCTCATATTCTATCTTGTCATATATAACTCATAGTCATGTATGTCCTCTAACCATCTCATAACGGTTTCCAAACCACTTTTATCGGATGTAAAGTAAAAGCATGGATGGTTATGTAAAACGTCTAAAGTTTCTAAGAGTCTCTCAAAGTCCAGTCTACTTGGTATGAAAATCCATGTGTTATAGAACGGCGGGTCCACTATAAAGAAAATTTTCTTGTCTTTTATTTTTTCATACAAATTGTCCAATGACATCTCACAAACTCTATACCTCAATATATTTTTTATGTCTCTTTGAAAACATTTGTATAGTTAAGATATAAAACTTTTGACATAAGTGTTTCAATGCATGAACTCTTATAGCACCACTATATAATAGTCTAGCAGATATACTATCCCAGTCTATATATTCTGCTTTTTTCAAAACCTCTCTCACAATATTTTTCTTATCTAATGGTATACGTTCCATCTTACCTATAGGTATCTTTTTTTAACTCTTTCAATATATTGTTTGTGTCTGGTATATGTTTGAGACGGTCCATATAGTTGTCGAAGTCATTGCATATAATCTTTGAGTCTGGAAATATTGTATGGCACAAATGGGATATATAGAAACTTCCACCGAACAAATCTACAAATGTTAGACCATTCGGTAGTTTCTTAAGTTCTCTCAATATAATATCTTTACATCTACTCTTATTTCCAAAGAACGGTAACGGTGGTTTTGTAAAATTCATTTATATATAATAATAAAAATGTTTTTACCTGAAAAGTGACAGAAAAGTGACAAAACATGAAAACATATATAATTTGTGAAAAGCGAAACATTATATAATGTTTTCGACCCAGAAGAAGGCTTCTTCCCAGAAGCAATGGAGGAAGAAGAAGAGTCCTCCGAATTCACACCAGAAGACTAACAATTTTCCGAATAAAAACTTCATTTATACTAAACATCTTCGGGCTAGAGGGCACGAAGTGCCTGGAAGCCCCACTACCTTTTTTTTTTTTTTTTTTTTTTTTTTATATATACAGTATATATTATGAAATTTGAGAGAAAGCTAAAATTTTCTTTAGATATGTTTTTTAATTAAAAATTATATTTCACAATAAGATAGTTATTTGTGATTAATATTGACTTAACGACTTCCCCATTTTGCAAACTTGTATTCCCAAAAATAATTGATATTATCTTAAAATCATGAAGAATACCACACAACAAAAATGTTCAACTCTTTATTAATAAAACACGAAAATTCAGCAAAATTTAAATTCCAGAGGATTTTGAAAAATGACTAATTCGCACATTTCTACATTTTGCAAATTTTTCGAATTATCTTTATAAATATTTCCAAAATATGATGACGTAAAAAATTAAAATGATTATTTTATTTCAGTTTTCTAAAAATACAAAGAGTTTATATAAATGCATTTTGAATAGCATTAAATCGGAGTATGTTTTACAGTCTAAACCGAAGGGAAAATATTTAGGGTTGTTAAAAATATCAAAAATTAGCGTTTTGAAGACACCATGGTGTCTTATAATTTTCCCTTCCTTATTGGCGTGTAGAAATAAATGCGCCAATAGATTGAAGAAGAAGAATTGTTTTTCTCTTAATGAACTTTAATCCTTTTGATATAAGAATATTAAAAACATTAATATAATTTCGATTTCGGAAATTAAATTTCCAAATTTTTTGTCGATTTCGGAAATAACAGGATCCCGCATCCAACACGCAACAACAAAACACAAAACACACTTTTTGGTTCTTTCATCGTTTTAATCGTAATTTATGTAATACATGATTTGGATAAATTTTACAAAAATAGAACCTATATTATATTCTTTTCAAAGATTCTTGCAAATCATCAAAAATAATTGTATTTTAAAAAATGATCAAATTATCCTTTCATTATTTTAAACTTAAATCAGTTTTTATGATTGACTAAAGCAATCATATTTATTCATCATTAAATAAACAAAAAAATAATATTTGAGAGTTATTTCAAAAAAAAACACATTGAATTTATTAATTTGTCTCAATTTCAGTATTATAAATTTTGATAATTTCAATATTTTGAAATACACTTTTTAATATTTCAATATTTATGATATTTCAATGTATTAAGTGGTCTCAAATTGAGCTTCTCAAATATAAGTTGGCCTATTCAAATAATAAAATTAAATAATATTTAAAATAATAAATAAAAGTGATTGAGGTCATAGCAAAACGGCTGTTTCAGTCATTAATTCTTAAAAATAAAAAGGATAAAAACTAAATAAAATGGGTAAAATTCAATAGTGTCTGTGCTATTGTTCAATTTGAAGGTGTCTTTTGAAACCGCAAGACATATTGAATTTTTGAATAGTGTATTATGGTTTGACAGACACCAATGAAAAAAATAAAATGATATTTATTTTAAATATATAAGATCCTTATATAAAATATAAATATTTTATCGTTTTATTTTCTTGTTTTAGAAATGTTTTTTATTGAAAAATCAATAAAACTAACTCCAAAATAAAATTTTTGATTTAAAGACACTATGATGACACCAGGCAAATCTTCCAAGACACCTATCGTCGGGGATCGAATAACCGTAAAAATATTAATCATTTGAATCAAAGAACAGACATAGAATTTATAAAAGGAAAGATGCAAAAGGTTGCAGGCTTCTAGCATGTTTTTTGCTTCCAATAACATTGGCAGAGCTTATTAATTTTTTATTCTTTCTCAAAATTCTGAAATATTTTAAATTTGAGCGTCATATCGTGACACAATATAACTTGATTCAAACTATTGAAATTTTATTAAAGAGTTCAGTTCTCGGAAATGTTATCGATTCATTACTTTGGCAGTTTTGAATCCACTCAATTATTTTTGAATTATTTTATATTTTTGAATACTCCTTAAGAAAACATAAAATCATTATTCTAAATATGTTTTCCATTATCTTGGTGCAATTTTCCCTCTCAGTTTCTGGCCATTCCAATCGAAAATACTCCTACGGATTCACTGATGTTGATCAAAACAGAAAGCATGTAGAATTGGTTGAAAATGTGACCACAAAAGTCAGAATTGATGGCGTTGAAAGCAATATTGAAAAAGTAACAGATTTAGATTACTCTCTTCAAATTGAAAATCACAAAAATTTATTATATACAGTTGTAAAGCAGACAATTACAAATAAAGGGTCAAATGAAAAGAAGGTAGATTTTTGCACAGCAATGTTATTTAAGGCAGAAGATAAAGAAGTCATCGCTCAAACTCTTGCAAACTTTGGCTATTCCCTTTGGTGGAAAGAGATAACAGATCTTACATTAGTTCTCCAAAATCATCCATGGGTTACTGATGTCAATGCCCATGACTTCGGCTCTGATGACGTGCCTAAATTCTTCACGAACACCGATAAAATTTTAGAAAATGTAGATGATGATGATGATCTTCCATCAATTTTATGGGTTTCATTTTCATGGTTGAACAAATATATACAACCTGGACAGTCAATAACATTCTCTTATCTATTACATAAAGGAAAATATGAACCACCATTCCTCTTCCTTGAGAAATCTTTAATCCCAGAAGAAACTGATGCTACTGAAGTAATTCAAATCAAGGGCAAGTTCTCATTCCTTGTTGATGGTTGTGATGCAGAAGCTGGCTGGAAACTTCGTACTTCCAATGATAAAATTATCAGAAATGATACACTTGGCAATTTTACAGTTTCAGAATCAAACAAGTATGGATTTTATGTGTCAATCACACCACCAACAAAACCTGGAAAGTACACATTATATGTTTACACATACACTAATGGTCTTGGCTCATTGCTTTATGAAGAATTTCCAATTACAGTTGTCGCTCCAAACTACAGACCAAAGTTGTATGTTCTTCCTCCTGATTACACTTATTACATTCCAGATTCTGAAGTTTCTTTCTTGGCTTCAGTCTACGATCAAGATTCAGGTGATAAACCACTCACAGCAAAGGTTTTCTTCAACAATGCAGAAGTTGCAACACAAGAAGTTGCAAACAGCACAGATCTTAAGACATTCAAATTCAAAGTTCCAAAAGACACAGCAGCAGGTGAATATGAAGTCAAAGTCACAGCTACAGATGGCAAGAAGATCGCCACAAAGAGGTTTATCATTCAAATACAAAACAATACAGTTCTCACAATCAATTTCGAACCAAAACTTAATGCCACATACAACAAAGGCGACAAGGTCAACTTCACAGCTGTCATCAATGATCCAGATACAAACTTCGATAACAAGTTCACTGTTTCTCTGTTCTACAACGATAAAGTCAAGAAGACGATCACATCACCTAACGATGCAAGATTAGTCAGAGTTCCACTTGATTTCACCATCCCAACAACAGAAACAAACACAACAGCCGAAATCAAGATCAAAGTCACAACACCAACCGAATCCTCTGAAAAATTAACAAATATCAACATCTATCAAGATGTTATCGCAAGTGATTCTGCAACAGGAAAGATTGCTACAAAGAAAGCTAAAAAGAAGACCGCCCTTGTTGCAGTTCTCTGTGTCTTAGCTGTCATTGCTGTTGTTGTTGCGGTAGTCGTTATTATTCTTTGGCTGAGAAAATAAAAAAATTCGGAGAATAAATTAAATTTTATGCTTTAAACACACTTTTTAAAATTACTTATAAATTATCTTTCAACAAGTTGAAATTACTCAATCTAGGATTGTTTTTCATGTGAAATTCTTGTTGTGCAACTAAATCTTAATTGCCAACTTGGAATAAAGATCATAGAACAAGACAAGCTTTTTTATAAATGAAGCATCTAATTAATAAACATTACTAATAATTTTTTTTTCAAATGATCCCATAACATAAGTTAAAAAAAAAAAGGTAGTGGGGCTTCCAGGCACTTCGTGCCTTCTAGCCCTGAAGATGATTAGTATAAATGAAGTTTATATTCGGAGGGCTTCCAGGCGCGTTGCGCCCTCTAGCCCTGAAGATGTTTAGTATAAATGAAGTTCTTATATACGGGTCTTCCAGGAGCTTTTCACAAATTATATATGTTTTCATGTTTTGTCACTTTTCTGTCACTTTTCAGGTAAAAACATTTTTATTATTATATATAAATGAATTTTACAAAACCACCGTTACCGTTCTTTGGAAATAAGAGTAGATGTAAAGATATTATATTGAGAGAACTTAAGAAACTACCGAATGGTCTAACATTTGTAGATTTGTTCGGTGGAAGTTTCTATATATCCCATTTGTGCCATATAATATTTCCAGACTCAAAGATTATATGCAATGACTTCGACAACTATATGGACCGTCTCAAACATATACCAGACACAAACAATATATTGAAAGAGTTAAAAGAAAAGATACCTATAGGCAAGATGGAACGTATACCATTAGATAACAAAAATATTGTGAGAGAGGTTTTGAAAAAAGCAGAATATATAGACTGGGATAGTATATCTGCTAGACTATTATATAGTGGTTCTATAAGAGTTCATGACATTGAAACACTTATGTCAAAAGTTTTATATCTTAACTATACAAATGTTTTCAAAGAGGACATAGAAAAATATATTGAGGGTATAGAGTTTGTGAGATGTCATTGGACAGAGTTGTATGAAAAATATAATTTAGGGTAGAAGGTTAGATCTAACCTGTTTTCTAACCTCATTTCTACCCTCTTGAATTTGTCAAGACTTCTTCGTACATGTTTTGTCAAGACTTCTTCGTAATGAGTGTAAAGGACCCAAAAATAAAGTTTAGGTGAAGAGGTGAGATCTCACCTGTTTTCTCACCTCTTTTCTCACCTCTTGAATTTGTCAAGACTTCTTCGTACATGTTTTGTCAAGACTTCTTCATCGTAATGAGCGTAAAGGACCCAAAAATATAATTTAGGGTAGAAGGTTAGATCTAACCTGTTTTCTAACCTCATTTCTACCCTCTTGAATTTTCAAGACTTCTTCGTAAATGTTTTGTCAAGACTTCTTCGTAATGAGTGTAAAGGACCCAAAAATATAAAGACAAGGAAAATGTTTTCTTTATAGTGGACCCGCCGTTCTATAACACATGGGATTTTCAATACCAAGTAGACTGGACTTTGAGCTGAACAAAAAGTGTCATATAAACATCTGTCAAAAACCGCTTTTTAACTTCACTTAAAATGCCACGTAAGCTACGTAAGAATATACGTAAGAGGAAGAGAGCATTGAAACATCCAATAGTAAAACTGACACCACAACAACAGTTGCAACAACAAATGATGAATGACCCCACTATGTTGCAACAAATGTCAAGCAATCCTATGCTTTTAAACCGAGTTCTTGGTGCACAGAGTGGAGGTTTAAGAGCGGCACTTTTAGCGAAAATGGCAGGCTATGGTGGAGCTGCAGACGGAACAGCTTATAACCCTCAAAGTCAAATGAATTTGAGTTCACTCAAAAATCAAATAACAGATGTCAAAAAGTCAAACATAGACATACAGAAACAAATAAGTGAAAACGAAAAGAAACTAGAATATGACAGACACACAAAGAAACTCAATGAGTTAAACGTAGAGAAAAAGAAGAAAGAAGAACAACTGAAAGAACTAAGTACAGAGGAATATGCGAAAAAAGTGTCAGAAAAAGCAGCAGAAGTAGCAAAAATGGAACAAGATGTTTTAAATTTGAAAAACCATACTACTCAATATAAAGTACTGAAAGATGAAGAGATAAAACAAAAAGCCCTGAAGACATATATGGATAGCGATGAGTATAAAAAAGAAGTTGAAGCAAATGTAAAGGCAGAAAAACTTTTACAGTTGCAAAACCAAACCGTACAGTATGAAAACTTAGCACAAGAAAGTAAAAATAACGACGCAGCCATGCAAAAGGCAATGAAAAGCGCAGAATATATAAAAGCTAACAATGACTGGTTAGATGCCCAAGCCAACGCTAAAGCAGCCCAACTTATAGGGTCAATAAGGACAAAAATACAAGCGGATGAAGACAGTTCAAATGAAGCTTTAATGAATGCTGACTTTAAGAATGCCTTCGAAGCTCTTCATAGTAAGGTGAAACAAGTGAACGATTTCTCATCTGGAAAGAAACTGAAGTCTGAAGGTTTCGACAAAGAGTTAAGAGAAGTAGCACAAAATATGACGAAAATAACAGATGCAGCAACGAGACAGGCAGTTCAAAGTGCCTATGACGCCGTTAGAGCAACTGTTGTGGAAAGTCAAGAAAAAGAGTTACAACAGACCAAAACAGACCTAGTAAATGCTTTCTTAAAAACGAAAAGTCAGGTAGGACATTATGCTGCAGATGGAACATATGTGCCAGCTGGTGGAACTTATATACCACCAAACCCTCCAAGAGAAGCACCTGCACCCGGACTACCTAAAACATTTACATCGTCACATGGACACAGACACAGGCATGCACCACAACCAACACAACAACCAACAGTTCAAAACCCTGCACAACAACCAACAGTTCAAAATCCAGCACAACAACAACCACAACCAACACAACAACCAACAGTTCAAAACACTGCACAACAACCAACAGTTCAAAACTCTGCACAACAACCAACAGTTCAAAATCCAGCACCACAACAACCACAAACAGAGCAAGGACATAAAAGAAGTAGAGAACAAGGAAACCAAGAATTCTTAAAAATGCTTAAGGAAAATTATGGTTACCTAGATACTCTTGACTTTAGTGACAGATATAAAGAAGCTATTAGAAAGTTCAAGGAAGGAAATACTGACCCGAACCTATTTAGCTTTATGGCTCAGCACCAAATCGGATATAATCTCAAACCTGGAAAATACAAGCTCGCTAAGGGATATGATTTAATAGCATATCATCCAACTGACATGAATGAATTTACTCCGAGATATTTGGTGTCAGAGATAAATGATAATTCAACTATCTTCATGAAACGCGTAAAAAATAGAGACGGAACGAAAGAAGAAAGGGTTATGAATGCGGATGACTTAAATAGGGAACTTGTTAAAAACGGTCTCGGAATATATGAAATGCCAGCAGATGAGGTACAAGAAACTCCACAGGAAGAAGTTCAGATACAACCAGACATGGAAGAAATAGTTCAGCAACAACAGCTAGAAGAGCCAGAAGGAAACGAACAAGTCCCTCCTTTGGAAACTAACTTCACAGAACTAGATGAAGATTTGGAACAGCCGAAAAATCTTGACCCTCAACAAGTGTATGCGGGGAATATGGAATCTTTCCAAGAGTCTAAGAAAAATTCGGCTGACAGAGTAGAAGAATATCGAAAAATGTTTACCGACATACAAAAGACTCCAACATCAGATGAAAATATTCAGCATAGAATGGAAGTACTGAAAGAAAATGTACGCCAATACAACAATCCTTTTTACTTACGACCATATAACGTTCAATCTTTGGCTGAACTCGGTGAAAATAAAAGGTTAAATTTCACCAAAACATATAGAAATGAAACATTGTTTAAAGTTCATTCAGAACCTAGCCAATATGGAAACAAACCTACTTTTGTTTCTGCAGACTATGGAACTACAATGAGATGGGGTCATAAAGCTAATCCGGATAGGTGGTTCATAAACTTACAACCTCAATTCCAAGAAGTTGTAGACGCAATGGAAGTGAATGGTGAACCAGATGTAGCTGGTATTTTCAGCGCGGCTTTAATGCCATTGAAAGATATGAAACATGCAGATATTTTGGACCAGTATGAAATGAACATGGCTGATGGAAATATAACACCTGACGTTCTAGAACATTTATCTCAAAGAACTACACAGAACCATAGAGATGGTATATTTGGTGAAGAGTTTAGAAAGAAAGTTAGGGAGATAGAAGGAAGAGAACCTATTGTACATGACCTTGCAAACGAAAGTTTGCAAAATGTCATAAAAACTTACTTTGCAGACAATAAACCGAGAAGGGATGAATATTTAAGAAAACTCAAATGGACAGTACCAAATGAAATGTTAGTATTGAAAAACATGTTCCTTGACAAAATAAAACCAACTACAGAAATAAATGACGCAAGCCTGAAACGTTGGGTAAAAGCTTTCCCATTCACAAAAGATATAATTGGTAACATGGAAAGAAAACCAGAATGGCTACAAAAACATATATTTGGAAACGAGCTTATTCCATACGGACAAGCTATATTTGAAGAGCCTGAACCGGAAACTCAGGAAAGAGTCATGCAAACAATACGCGAAGACTCAAATACAAACTATGACAAAATCTTTCAAGGATATAGGTTACCTGAGATGGGCGACCAGAGCCCAAAGGCAAAAAGGACATGGGAAATTAACAACATACTAGGTGAACATGAGGCAAAGATGCAACAACTTGAAGCAGAGGGCAAGTTACCAAAAGCGACACCAAAGAAGAAGAGAAGAGTAGAACAAAGTGAAAGTAGTGAAGAAGTAACTTCATCTAGTGAAAGTAGTGGCAATGAAGGAAAAAGAAGAGTTAAAAAGTCAGCCAGGAAGAAAGTAAAGCTTGGTCCGAGTGGGTTCTATTATGATATATAAATCCAACTATTCTATATTTTTACCCATATGAAATGTACGCCGCTCAGAATATAACGCCAACAGTTTTGGATGCCATGAACGGAAATGTTTCCGAATGGTATAACGAATGCGACAATGCCATTAGAGGTCAGAAATAGTTCCTGGAACTTACGAATATACAACTGCTGTTTCTTATGGAAACGTAGGTGAGTTTGGAGAAGGTTCTTCAACAACAGTGATATTGCTTGCGACAGGTTTCATATTATTTCTATTGACAACTCATTCTTATACGTGGAACAAGACATTGAAATAAAACCTTCTGCCAAGTTGTCTGACAAGAAAGGTTGCAATGGAATTTTCTATGTCGGATACCAATATGCTCCAGAAGTTTTCATGGGATATAAGATATATTCTAACTCTGACTTAGTTCAAACAGTAACATGGGCAAACTATGAATGGTTCGCTTTGAGAAACTCAGTACAACCACAAGCTAGAGAACAAACAGACCAGTATGCAACTATTGAGAAAATAAGAAGACTTGACCCTAACGTTCCAGGAGTTTATGTTAACCTTTCTGGTTCAGATGGAAATGCTGCCACTAAAGTAAAACTGAAACTTAGAGTTCCTTTGTCATCTTTCCTCATCTTCAGGTTTTTAAGATACTTGCCAAACTGGGCAGGAAAAATTTCTATCGAACTTACTCCAAGCAAAAATAACTTAGTCATTGCACCAACACAAGACCCATTCACTCTTACTGTAGCTGGAACTGTGGAGCCAAGTTCTGTGACTTTTGCAAAGACAAAGTTGACTTAGACTTTGGTTTCTCAAACTTCAACACTGAAGTAAACTATTATTTCAATGCTGCTGGAACTGCTTGGACCCAGTTAAGTTCACATGCGAAAAGTTTGAATGCAAGAGAATAGAAAGCAGACTTGCCGTTTATATGTTGACCCAGATATTTCAAATGCTTTAGCTGCCAAATATATTGCAGTTCCACTTATGTTCCCTATACACCAAATATCTGTCAAAGACTTTGCAGGTGAAGTTGGAAACCAAAGTGCTGACCCAGGTGCAAGAACAGATATTGCTTTAACAACTGCAATGAAACATGCAGATACTATGTTTGTACTGTTCAGACGAACTATAAATGACTATTCTTGTTTCTACAACCCCGGTATTAAATATCATATAAACATAGATGGCAAATATTATCCAAGAGAAGAATATTCTACAGTTGAGGATATGAGGTCATACAACTTGACATTAGATGCTATGAACTTTAACAACAACTTCACAACAACCATTAACCCTGAAATGCAAAGTTCTATTATGCCATATGTGAAAGTATGGACTCATACAGGAGGTCAAAAAACTCAATATACAAATGGAGACTGTTCAAACTTTTGGCTTGGCATTCCATTTGCTGACTCAGAAGACTTTATGGGTGGTATTTCAACTGTTGGTACTGTACAAATACAATATACTGGTGACAGAGACGGTCCAGATGAATTGAAAGCAAAGAAGTTTACAAAACCAATAGCACTTTTCACGGAAGATGCTCTTTTTGAAGATTCGTTCGATGAAACCTGCTGGGGCTCCTCAGATTGGCATAACGACAGCTTCCATCGAGCAGATTTTGGCAGCAGGTCAGTAAGTTGTTCTTGAACTGACTTCTCTCCGTCAAATATTGACAGTACGCCAGTTTTGACATAATATTGTATTATAAACTTTCCTTTAGTAATATCGGTCAGTTTTGAAGTTATATTTTTGTCTGCTTCAAGAACTTTCACCATTTCAGTTATACCAACTTTCTTTGCTTTATGAAAATATTTAGGTTCAGCAAAGACTGCTATTCTATAACATTTTCCATTGTTTTGTGTAAAGAACTATTCTGTCAATGTATTTGTATTGTTTGTGAGTATAAACTTTGTTCTGCTTCAATTCGAAGAGATACTCGAATACGTCCATCTTTTTATTCTAAGTAAAATGTCATTTCCGAAAAATAGAAGCGTAAGTGTTTCAAAAGGTTTAATGGCGGTGGCAGATGTGAAGTTAAATTCACCAACTCAAACAAACAGTCAAAGTGTTGTTGTCAATGTCAAAGACAGAGATGTTGAAGTGGGGAAACCATACGAAGACGAAGATGGTATAACAATTGTTCCTGTAAAAGAACCAACATATCCTGAAGTTAGCAGAGACTTAAGTTCTGTTGCAGATATTCGAAATGACTACCAACAACTGAAAGACAAACTTCAAACTCAGGAGAAGATTTGTCAAGCTTTAAGTATAATGTTAAACTTGGTCGAACACAACCCTGTAAAAGTGAACTCATATGTCATTGCACCTCATGAAGTTTTGAAAGAACTATTGAAACTTTTGACAGAGGCAGACGATATAAACATCAAAGAAATAGAACCCGACATTAGTTGCTGTGGTGTTTCATATAATGTCATTGACAAGATATACGTTATGAAAGGAGGTGAAACGTTGAACTTAAAGTATAGTTTCCCAGACGTTATAAAAATATTTGACGACCACAACATTTCATTAAAATTATTTGCTAAGTAAAAATGTCAAAAACTTCTTGAAAGATGTTTGAAGAAAAATAATATAGACTTTATTTCATGTAAAGGACTTTACACACTTTTGAACGATATGAAAGACCCTGTTTTGTTTGTTCGTGTAGACAAAGGAAAGTTCTATGTCTTTACAAAATATTTGAACTTCTTAGACAGAGAACTTCAAGAAACGCCATGTGAAAGTTTAGATGAAGTTCTTCTCCACTTTCAGAAAAACTTTTAAATATATGTAAATGGCAGAAGACATAATGGTTTTATACTATTACGACTAAAAACCCTGAGTCATATAATTCTATAACAACAAACTTACAAAGTCCTCAAGGACGATATTGTAAACTAACCTTAAACACAATGACGACTAAAGCCTGTTTTGCTCTTTTGACACCAGAAGATTTTATTGTTGTGAATGGTAAAAAATACTCCTTTGAAGATACTTACTCAGATATACCACCAACAGGTTTTGTTGACTTATTTAATACTTTAAGGACGAGTGTAACATGTGCTGCAACTAGAGCAGGTTTCATTATGTTTGGATGTCCGACTGAGTTTACTATAAACAATATGAGCTATAATACAAAACTTATATCTGGTTTTTACTACCAACAGTTTCCTATAACAGGAAAAGGTGTCATACAAGGAATGTCTGTTCCATTGACTTGTAAGTACACCAATCTTATATATTGTTTCAAACTTAGGTTCAAAGTGTTATTCGAATGTCGACAGAAACTATTATGACCAAAAGATACTTATGCGTATAAACAATACTTTCTCTCTGGTTTGCCTATTGTTCATTCGAATGCAGAATTTTCAACCTTAGTGAACTCAAACACTTTGGCAAGTATAACGTTGACATTAGTTGACGCAACTTTGTTCCTGTAAAACTTTTATGTCCTATGTATTTGTCAATGACGGCAGAAAGTTTCGAATTGGAAGATGCAACTGGTGAAAGTATTGTATTACAAGAACAACTTCAACAACAAATAGCTCAAGAACAACAAATGCAACAATGCAACAACAAAGTCAAGAATAAAAATATTATTTTTTTTTTATTTTATAAAAATGTACAGAATAGATGTTTCAGATTTTTATGACTTCCAAGCATTCAGAAATATGTTCCATTTCGAGACTATAACAAAGCAGTCGAGAATTTGAAACGTTTAGTCATTTATGTCGACTCTGCCCCAGAATTTATGTTATGAAAGAATGGGATGTAGTCTTTAACAAACCAAGAGCAACAATAGTTTCAGAACAAGAATGTAGACAGAAACTTAAGAAAATAAAAGTCGTACAAGTTGGTATGAAGATGTTAGATGCTTGGGATATCTTATTGTCAAAACTTGAAGATTTTTCAGTTCGTGGTATAAAGTTCTATACACCTTCTCCAAACTTCTATTCTATCTTCACTGGATATAAATACGAACAAGTAGAATGGAAACACAGTATTATAGAAGCTTGGTTAGACCATGTCAAAGAAATTATATGCAATGGAAACGAAAGAGTCTATGAGTATATCTTATGTTGGTTTGCAAACATCTTACAACATCCAAGTGCTAAAAATGAAACTGCTCTCATTATAATTGGAAAAACAAGGAACTGGTAAGAATACTTTCTTTACAGATATTTTGTGCAAACTGTTAGAAGGTTATTCGAACCCGAATATGACAAACTTAGAAAACATCTGTGGCAAGTTTAACTCCTCAATAAGAATATGAAACTTATAGTTTGCAATGAACTTCAAAGTATAGATACAACAAAAGTTTTGAACTCAGATGCTTTGAAGAGTCTTAAACAGACAAAGTTGGAGTTGTTGAAAAAAATATAAAGACCAAAGAGTTTGTGAAAATGTTGCAAACTTCATTATGGTTTCAAACAATTTTTCCGATGAAGTTAGAAAGTTCTGACAGAAGATATGTAGTTGTCAGAACGTCAGATTCTCATATGCAAGATACAGAATATTTTGACGCTTTGTCAGAAACTTTGACATCTGACTTTTACAACCACTTGTTCTCATTATTCATGACATTAGATATTTCTAAGTTCAATCCAAGACAAATTCCACATACCGAAGAGAGACAAAATTGTTAGAAGCAAACAAGAGTGTATATAACTGTTCATAGATGAAACTGACTTGTGTCATTAGATGAAAGGTCATTTGTACGATTCGTATAAACAATATTGTCAAAGTATGGTTATATGGCAGCGTCTAAACGTACATTCTTGGCAAATGTCAAAAGTCTTTTAGACGTACAGAATGGTGTATATACAAAGAAAAATTTTTATGAGTAAATTTAAAAAAAATATTTTTTTATCCGATAGAAAAGATGACGAAATATATTTCAGTAAATAAGTACATGTCAGGAGTCAAAGATAAGTTAGCTCCATTCACATATTTGAATGTTTACTTCTACCATTTTGAAAAGTCTTCATTCAGCAAAGTTTGGAACATCGAACCAGTTAAGTTTGCTATTGTGACTAAAAATGGTGCGAAATTTGAAGACTTAGACATAGAAGGTTTGTTAGCAGTCAAAGAAAATTTTGACAGAAGGTTCTCAAACCTTAAAGAAGCAAAAGCATAACAAACTTGTTATACCTTATGAACCAAAGAAGACAGACGACTATGAATATTATGAGTCTAAAGTTGTAGAAGTTCAAGGTAAATTGGGTAAAAAGATTTTAGAGTCTAAGCCGGTGTTTGCTCCTAAGAGGAAGAGAACATTGACATTGACCCAAAATGTTCTAAAAATAAAATTTTATTTTTACATGTCAAATTCTTTTTTCTCTGGAACTGGTTCAGGTTCTTTCTTCTCTTCTTCTACTTTCTTTTCTTTCTTTTCTCTCTTCTTCTTCTTCTCTGGTGGAGTTATGTCAAATTTGGCGCAACCATATTTATGTAAAAGTTCTTTGTCCTTTAATAGCTCTTCTATTCTGTTTTCTATTTCATCTTCAAGAACAGCGCATGTGCCTTCTTTGCATTCTAAGAACTTTTGTTGGACTTCATCTTTCCAATCGGCGTCATCTCTGTCAACAAGTCTGTCATTGACAAATTTTAAGACTGCTCTTTGTAATGTTTTATGGTTCTTGTCATATTCCCAGAAACAGAACTTTAGAACAAATTCACCTTTCTTGTTTACACTATGTAAGATTTTATGGTCGACAGATGTTTTGCTGTCGAAAAGTTTGTCTCGAATATAGATAGCGAAATCGCTAGACATTTCAAAAAGATAAAAATTTTAATTTTTCTAAAAAATATGTTAGAAAAAAAGTTTGCTGACATTGACAAGAAATTTGAGAATGTTTTAAACAAGAACAAGAGGAAGTTAGAAATGCTCAGAATAAAGCCTAACATGAAAAGTTCTTATTTGCTCAGAATGGTATAACAGGTCTAATTGCACCACCTGGGTCGGGTAAGACTTTCACTTATCTTAAAATGGCTGCACAACAACAAGAACTAGATGAGAAGAACCCATTCTATGAGTTAGTTGTTTATTTGTTCGACTTCTGGTCAATTTGACCAAACCGTCAATTCGTTCAAAGATATTATAAAGAAGTCTAAGTTAGTATGTATAAAGGATACTGAGATGTTAGATTGGATAAAGAAGTACCAAAGAAGAGTTTTGAAGTATAATGCTATAAATGAGTATATAAATTCTAAGTTTAAAGACCCAAATGAGGAAATGCAGAGAATATTAGAGAAGAAACACTTCAGAAACAAACAGAAAGAGATAGAATACATTTCGAAGAAATTGCAATCTTACGATTGGAAGACATACCCTCATAGATGTCTTCTTATCTTAGATGATTTCGCCTCTCATCCTTTGTTAAAGAACAGAGAACAAGATATGTGTCGAATTCTTAAGAAGCTCAGACACTTTAACATCTCAGTCGTAATATGTGTACAGACAGCAAAGAGTTTAAGTAAGGATGTAAAGAGAATACTTACTGACATTATACTTTTCCCCGGATTGTCCGAAGACGATTTCATGGAACTTATGAAAGAGTCCATGGCAGGTAAGTTTGACAGACATGAACTATGGGAGAAGTACAAAGTCATACAAGACCCTCATACTTCTTTCAGAATTCATATCTACGCAAACAAAGTTCAAATTGTAAAAAGTCAAGCTTGAAAAATGTAAGTGTTTAGTCTTAGTAAGTCTGTTGTGGTGCTGGGTCTGTCGGTTCTTCTGGCTTTGGGGCTGTCGGTTGGTGGTACGTCGGACATTCGTTTGTGTCCTGTCGGATGGAAGAACTTTTCCAGTTGTCGGGAAAATATTTTCCTGTCGGAAGGAAAAATTTTTCCTGAAGTTCGACCAAAAAGTTCTCAATTTTCGAAAATTTGAATGGTTTTTGGTCGGACAACTGGAAAAATTTTGCCTGTCGGAAGGAAATTTTTTTCCAGTTGTCGGGAAATTTTTTTCCTGTCGGATGGAAGGACTCGGAATGCCAGATGGAAGGACTCGGAATGTCGGATGGAAGGACTCGGAATGCCAGAAGGATTTGACAAGCCAATTTACCATCTAGAGCTACCTGAGCCATCTGAAGTCAAGCGTAAAAATAAATGGTTCATTTACTCTGCTTGTTTGAAGTTGTCAAAATACTCTGTTATTTTTTCTTTCAGTAGCGGTAAGTCTTCTTTGAAGGTAAGAATTGTACAACCTTTCATATCATAGTGTGTTTGAGGTAACGTATCTTGAACTATTTGTTTCACATCTTCATTTGGAGTCATTGAAATCGGTAAGTTTTCGCGATAGAACCAATTTCTGTCAGATTTGTAAATCTTAGCAAGGTCGTAAAAGCTTTTGTTGTTTCTTCTGACTAAATGCAACATAACCATATCTTTATCTTCTTCATTTTCCATCTCTTCAGTATAAATCATATACTTATAGTTCTTTTCCTTACCTTTTGGTACCGAACGTGGTATTCTTTTCTGAATGCTTTTGTCTTTTGCTTCAAGCTTGTTCTCTAGCTCTTCACGTTCTTGTCTATGAATTTCGTCAAGAAGTCTGTAAATATACCAAGCATAACGAGGTGAAGCCCACATTGCAACAGCATTTACAAGAAGTCTATGTACATAATATCCTCTCAAACCGTTTGGCAATTTTTCACGATTTTCATAGAGTTTTGGCGACTGGGGTTTTTTACCTACTCGCTGTTCTTCACTGTTTTCATAGAGTTTTGGCGACTGCGGTTTTTTACCTACTCGAGTTTTTGCGACTACGAGAAAATCCGTAGTCGAATTTTCAGCTTCATTTAATAGTTCAATAGTGCTTTGGTTCCTAAACCAGTCTTGTGGTTTCTTAGTATCTGGAGCAAAACATGCTGTCAAAATACTTTGCATTTGGTACATATCGTCTTTGACCGAACGAATGAGACGGAGTTGTTTGTTAAACTGAACCCACTCATATTCTTCATTTATAGCTTCATGAACGATAGCAGTTGTTGTGTTCTCTGATGTTGACATATCTGTCTTTATATTCCGGATAAAAAAATAAATAAAAATAAAACTAACTTTATTTTCTGACTTTCACAAAAGACCAAAAATAAACGCTTTACATGTATTTTTCAGCAACTTCGTCAAATAATTTTATAGCTTTATCTATCTCATCTACTTCAAACGTTTCTTTACCTTTCGTGGGAGCACCATACATTTTCTCAAACTTTTCAAGTAGTTCTGTTTCTGCAGCTCTCATATCGTTAACGAACACAACCTTGACTCTATTGACTATACTGTCATATCTTTGAGTTATATTATATGTTCTTCCTATCTTATATCTCTTTGTATTGAAGTCCTTCGGTTTCTGAACGATGTAAAGTAAGCCTTCACTGCAACGTTCCGTATCGAATGAACCATATGTTATGAAGTTATATCCAACAACTGGGTCAATCCATAACAAAACTATTGGTATAAGACTTTTGTCGATGAGATATGCTGCAGTTCCATAGAATCTTACCGATATCATAAGCTCAGGATTTCTTGTCAAAATTTTCTGAGTAGAAGCAGTTCTAACCCAGTCGTGGGATGTTTTCTTTCCAGATAGTGTTAGAATGTCTGACAAAGAATATTTGTTGTATTTCTTTGAGTATCTTACGTTTAAATCACCTATTCTAACCAATTTGGTGTCATTGTCTATCTTTCTAACTGTTTCAAACTCAATGTTTGTCATATATGTTCTTACATACAAGATAAAAAATATTTTTTTAAAAAACTAACTTTATTTTTTCTATCTTGTATAAAAGATATGATTTCAGGGATTTTTTTGACGAAGTGCAAAAGTTCTCTTCGTCAAAAAATAACAGTTATATAATGAAATTTGGTCATTTTTTCACGATTTCAGGGATTTTTAGGCGACCCCGAAAAAAGTCTGGGTCGCAAATTTTTACGATTTTCATGAGTTTTAGGCGACCAGGTTTTTTTCCCTACTCGCAATTTTTACGATTTTCATGTGTTTTATGCAAGACCGAAAAAAGTCTGTCTAGAGAAATTTCACTGTTTTCATAGAGTTTTGGCGACTACGTTTTTTTACGTACTCGCTGTTCTTCATGATTTTCATAGAGTTTTGGCGACTAAGGTTTCTTACGTACTCGCTGTTCTTCACTGTTTCCTCGGGTAGCAATCTTATGCCATTTTACTCAGAATTTTGTTGCTGAATTCAGCAAAAATATATTTTAGGGTAGAAGGTTAGATCTAACCTCTTTTCTAACCTCTTTTCTACCCTCTTGAATTTTCATGATTTCATCGTACATGTTTTGTCAAGACTTCTTCGTACATGTTTTGTCAAGACTTCTTCATCGTAATGAGCGTAAATCAGACAAAAATAATGTTTAGGTGAAGAGGTGAGATCTCACCCGTTTTCTCACCTAATTTTTCACCTCAGTTATTTTATAAGCGTTTTACATGGTAAACGTTATTTTTTAAATTTTGTGAAAACTCAACGGTTTGACACAAGCCCTAAAAATTATTTTACTCAGAATTTTGTTGCTGAATTCAGCAAAAATATATTTTAGGTGAAGAGGTGAGATCTCACCCGTTTTTTCACCTCATTTTTCACCTCAGTTATTTTATAAACGTTTCACATGAATTGTACGATGTATATTTGAAATTCTAAACAATTTTGTGGCTTCTATTTCTTCTGTCAGTACATCGAATGTTTTAACTATGCCGAAAGTTTCTTTATATTTCTTCTTGACGTCAGATAAAAGGAAATCGTCAGCAGTTGGATAGTTTTTGTTCAGAAATTCTAACATGTTCATTTTATCTTCTGCTGGCTTTTCTGCTTCTTTCTTTAAGTCTGCATAGTCGTTTCTCATTCTTTCTATCTCTTTGACGGAGTAGTTATATTTTCTTATTGCTGCTTTACATTTTGAACATTGCGGGTTCATTTTAGCGTTATATTCTGAAACCTTACCTGCTAAAACAACTAAAGCGTCAATTGCTCTCTTCATCTCAAAAGCAGTTGGTTTTATCTGTTCATTCCATACCTTACCTCTTCTATCTTTATCTCTTATCTGCCATACACATTTTGCAGCTAATGAAACAAAGTTGTCGTAGGTCTTAAACTCCACCGATTTATATATGTCAGAAACATTCTTATATACCATATCGCAATCTTTGTCCATAACCTTATGGTTGCAATGAAAACCAAGAAACTCATAGTTAACCTTTCGTATGAACTTCTTTATTTCTACTGAGTCAGTTGCTTTGACTTCAATTTCGTCGAATTCAGGAATAGTGAGCTTTTGTTGTTGGATTTCAGGAAGTTTAGGTAGATGGTCGATGAGGTCCTGCATTTCATAAAGATACTGTTCATTTGTTTCATCTTTCGCACTACAGTCTAAATTACTTGTTAAAAGTTCTTGCTTTATCTTCTGGATTTCTGTTTCGAAAGTATATGAAGAAGGAATGAAGCTTTTCATCTCTACTAACATTGAAGTTGGGTTCATGACTAACGAGTTTGGTGCTGTTGTTGCTAACATGTTCTTACAATAAAAATAAAAAATATTTTTTAAATAAAACTAACTTTATTTTTTCTATCTTAAGGAAATTCATGAAAATTCATGAAAATTCAACGGGTGAGAAAAGAGGTGAGAAAAGAGGTGAGATCTCACCTCTTCACCTAAAATATATTTTTGGTCATTTACGAAGAAGTCTTGACAAAACATTTACGAAGAAGTCTTGAAAATTCAACGGGTGAGAAAAGAGGTGAGAAAAGAGGTGAGATCTCACCTCTTCACCTAAAATATATTTTTGCCGAATTCAGAACAAAATTCAACAGGTGAGAAAAAGTGGTTAGAAAACGTGTTAGATCTAACATGCTAACATAAAAGTATTTTTGTGCTATGTTTTCTGTATAAAATTCATGAAAATTCAACGGGTGAAAAAACAGGTGAGAAAAGAGGTGAGATCTCACCACTTCACCTAAAATATATTTTTCAATACTTTTTCAGCACTTTTCCGTAGTTATATATGAAAGACAATTCGAGATAAAAGTCATAGTACAATGGAATAATATGTTGCACACCATTTGTTGTGAACCAAACTTGAAAGTCAGAGAAACTGTTACTAGGTGGTTCGTAGAATTTAGAAGCAAAGTCATAAAAGTCCTTACCAATACATAGAAAACTATTGTTGCTTGAACTGAAACTTGCATGACACATAACATTTTGAGGGTCAAACACGTTTCTATAAACTGTCAAATCTGCTGGTGGAAGTATAAATTTAAATGGACCATCTGGTGGTAATGGTTCGTTCTGGTTTAGTAACCGAAGAAATTGTGCCCAAGAACGTTTGTCTACTTTCCAAAATAAAAACTCTGTATCTCTTGGAGGGTTAATTTCAATCTTTTGAAATGAAACGGTGGAGTTCATCTTGTCATATTCTAGTTTCAGATAGTATGTTCCATTTAGTAAAGAGTCGTATTTTTCTTGAAATTCCCAATAATATTTGTTCATTTGAGTTTGAAAGTCATTTAGAGTTTTCTCAAGACTTTCGTCTGAACGAACTGTAAAGATTCTCATTTCGGCAAATTTGTCTATTAGACCATCAGAACCTTTATACTGCCCATGAAAATATACTACGAACATAAACGCGTTAGTTCTATTTGAAAACAAAAACTCTTCTAAATCCTATTGCCTTTGCATCTGAAGGACTTTGAAGCCAACGAATTGGATAGTCAAACCTGTATACTCGGGATGAAATTTCTTCATCTGAAATAGTCCTACCAGCATTTGTAAAGATATAGTCTAACGGTTTTGTATCTGCTACTTTTGTTCTTTGTTTTTCAACCTTAAGCATTTAATATATGTAAAAATATATTGTTTTAAAATGGTATGCCATTTCATATTTCTCATCTAACAAACAAGTTTCCCAACGGTCTTCTCCAACAAACTCAGCGTACAGTTCAAATAAAATTTAAAAAATGTAATTTTTTTGAAAAACGTTTTTACTTCATGCAATGTTTTATTTCTGTGCCGTCTTCAAGTATACCCCAATATTTCCTTTTCGATATTACATGAACTTCGGAAAATACCTTATCTAGCTTAAAACAGCCCATCTTTTCACCGACCATTCCCATTTCAATGAGTTTGTTATAGCCTTCTTCGTTCGTCATGAGTGCGTCAATGTTCTCATAGTAAACCACAACTTTCGATTTGACTTCGGAGAAGAATTTGTTGTAGTTGTCAAGTACTGCCTTTGCGAACTGAGGGTAAGACCAATGTTCGACAATAGGTTTTAATGTGGTTACTAAGCCACTTTGACCTTGAGTGAATTCGTACTTCAAAACAAAAGGAGAAAACCTTTCAACAAAGTTGTCGACCTTCTCATAATGTTTACTCTTCATCTCTTGAGGTTTCTTAATGAATATCCCCATGTCGAATTCATAAGCAATTTGAGTGTCATTGCAAGTTTGGGGTTTGAAGCTTTCCTAATATCATACAGTTGTTGTATGACTTTTCCAACTGTATAGTTCCTTCCCGGGAACTCACCATCTTCGTTTGGAATTCCAGTCGGAATATATTGGACAAACCTCATGTATGCAGCGTTAAGGTCGACATAGTATATCTTTTCGTTTGAGTCGAACTTGTCGCAACCAATTGGTCCAGTTTGTGGAAATTCAAGTGAGTCTCTTATCTTCTGAGAAACTTCTCCTGTTATCTCATAAACATCGTCGAAGCAACCTGTTTCATATAAAACCTTCTGACCTAACTCAGAAGCTCTCCAATACAATTTGACGTCAATTGGATGTCTCAATGGAAGTTTGTTTATAGCATCTTGAAGTTCTTGCAACCTCATTGGAAGTTCTTCTGGTTCAGGTTGGTATCCGAACAATCCAACTCCTTGTGGAATTGTGTACTTCTTTTGTACTATAACTTTGTCCGGAACAACTTTTGGTCTTGCTAACAATGAAAAGTTTGTTTCGTCTTTTGGTACAAAAGTTTCTGTCAGCTTGTCATCTGGAATTGGTTCCAACAAACCTTTCTCGAAAAGAATGTTTACAGCTCTGACAATGTTGCACTTGCCTTTTCCGAACAATGGGTTTGTAAGACTTTCGTTCAACATGAAGTGGTTGTGGACAATTACAATCTTCAACCATGGTAAATTGAACTCAACAACATAGTCGTCATGTGAAGAACCTTTAGCTGTAGGTATGTTGACTCGAATATTGACATTTGCCAACGGTGCAATTTTTGCCAATTGACCTCTGAGAATGTACCTTGTCTTCACACATGACTCAAGATACTTCATTTTCTCATCTGTAACAAGACCAGAGTTCCTGAGACATGTAAGAATGCAAGGTTCATTGACAATTGTTTTCAATTGAATTGTAAATTCCATACCTTGTCAAGTCAATGTCAGACTTATTTATGAACGGGAAGTATCCAGCATGTTGTCTGACTGCTTGAGGGTTAGGTTGGTACCATTCGAACTTGACACTTGCAATTCCTTCAATTGCATTCAAAATGTCTGAGTCGGAGTCAACCATTTGTTCTCTCTTTGTAGTCTTGAAAGCGTCAAGAAGCATTGCAGCTGTTGTGACATTGCCATGTGCATAGTAAATGTGACCATCCAAATCTGTTATGGTCAATCTGAGATTGTATCCTTTCTTATTTCCATCTTGTATGGCAGCAAGTACACCCATGAAGCCTTCTTTGTTCTTTCCTTCGTCAAAGTTTACTGTAAAGGTTCGACCAGAAGTAATTTGACTTCTAACTTCACGGTACTTTTCATATGCATATCTTGTTCTTTCCATGGGAGCATGACCATCCTCTGCACTACCTTTTTTCCTTCTCAAAGGATGCAATTGTTCGTCATGTTTTCCAATAGAATCTGGCAAAGCCGTCGTGTCCTTCAACTTGAGGTTCACTAACATCGAAAGGCATGTCCATAAGACGTTCTTCTTCTAACCTCTCTAGTCTGTTTGGATAATTTGCACGTGCTGTTTCCAAATCCATTTCGTAGCGAAGACCAGCCAGTTTGTCATAGACTTTTATGGGTCTTCCCTTCCTATATTTAAAATTCTTCGAAACTCTCCAACCATATCTTTGCAACTCTGCTTTTATTCTAGCAGATTTTCTATCCATTCTATAATGGGGCATTTTTATAAAAATAAAAAAATATTTTTTCTTTACTTTACATAACCGCCTGCTGCCATAAGTCTTTGACGCCAACCCATACCAGCTAATGAAGGTTGACTTGGTTTAGTTTGGAAACTAAACTTTGGTTTGGTTTATCTTCAGTTTTTGGTTTTTTTCTTCTTCTATCGGTTTTTTCGTCACTTTTCGGTTCCTCTGACTTTACCTCACCTGCAGGAACAGTTGTGTCGTCAACATCTTCATAAATATCATATGCCATTTGTTTTTGTTTTCCTTTCAACTTTTTTGTGTTTGTTGTAAAGTTTAGAATATTTCGACTCTAAGTCAATGAGATGTTCTATAATGAACTGTTGGTCAGTGAAGTAAACTTTTCCATCTGTTGTCTCGAAGCTCCTTCAGACTTCAATATTTTATTTGTGAGAGTCTGTTTCTTTTTGAGATACTAGCCGTTCCATTTCTATGAAAAGTGACTTTATAGTTAGGGTTTGTATTTCCAGACCTGGCACTTTCTATTATTGAATTTTTCTCTTCATCTGTAAGTTCTTTGACAGGTTTTGACAATGGTTCTGAACTTTTTGTTTGTGGTGTCAAATCTTACCGTTTCAACTTCTTCGGTCATTTCATCTCAGTAAAAAATTTTAGTTTGGTTTGTTTTCACTGGTTGTTTGTTGTTTTTTAAGTCGGTCTAAAACTTCCTGAGGTATAGGAAGAACTTGACAAACACGTTGTGTAACTGCTGGAAGCCGAACAAATCCATCTTGAACCCATTTGTCTCAATGCTGTATTGTTCATTTCATCTCAGTAAAAAAATTTACATTCCCCACGTTTGAGGCGGTTGAGGTTGGTTATTGTTTACCCACTGTTGTGCATGGTTATATCCTCTGTTAAAGAATCTTTCACCTTGGTCCATATAGTGTCCTGCTTGTTATAGTAGTCATTTGCTTTGTTATAATAGTTTCCTGCTTGTCTTCCTACATTGTCCATCCATCCTTGAACTTTTCCTCTTGTTTCAGGATTTGGAATAAGATTTGTTGCATCTCGTGCTACATCCCAACCTTTCTGTACAGTTTGTATAATAGGTTGTGCTTTCTCTTTAAGTATACCTAATGTACTCAAAATCTTCCTTCCAACTCCAAATACACCTCTGGCTATTGTTCCACACTGCGGGTAAAAATCTGGATGCAACTCCTGCTAATGCGCCAAATAAACCCATTTCTTACAGGGTAAAAATGACGAATCCAAACAAGGACCCTATGTTTCTAAAGCGACAAAGAAAGCACTCATGATAAAAATCTTTAGTTCAACACCAAATGCTTGGTTTATGGATATCTTGGAAAACATTCCGAGGTATAGAGAAGATGGACCTCCATACTGGCTAATATTTGTCGGTCAAAACACAAGATACTGTGAAGCCATACCATTATGGTCAAAAATATTTTAGATGTGAAAAACTGCTTTGACAATATTCGTTGACAAATACCATCCAACAAAACTGACATCTGACTGTGAAAGTTCTTTCAAATCAGATGATGTAAAAAACTATCTGCGTTCAAAAAATGTAAACCAATATTTCATTGTCGACCAAAACCATTCTGCTCTGTGTGTCATTGACGGTTGTATAAAAATGTTAAGAGACTTAAACCAACCACAAGGTGGTGAAGCAAATGAAATGTCATATGACGACAAATATAGACACTTCTCCCAGGCAAAGATGAGACAAGTTTTAAATATTTACAATAGCCGTAAACAAAAAGGTTTGGGAAACCACTCCCCCGAAGAAATGAAAAACAACCCTGACTTAGAGAAAGACTATATATTTAATAATTTAGTCAAAGAGACAAACAAGAAAGAATGCCGGGCTTCAAACTTCAGAAAGGTGACAAAGTAAAAATAGAAATACCTAAACGCGACCCATATGAAAATACTATTGACTATGACAACAATGGGAACCCGACAGGTACTCACATTCGTGTTCGTAAAAATAGAAGAAAGTATACAAGAGAATATTATGAAGTTTTAGGCAAACATGGCAAAATGTACACACTGCAAGCAGAAGATAAAACTACTATTGTCAGACCTCGTTTCAAACTTGTCAAAGTTCAAGGTGGTATACTTTCAAAGACAGTTCCTAACAAATATAAGACAACTCCTGACGAATATGCTAAAAAGTTGAAAATGACGACTAAGCATTTCTATACCATGCGTAAACTGTCATGTAAGGTGGCATGTAGTCTTTACTTTGTCCCGTTGTTTGCGTATATCCTGAAACGCGATGTGTATGGTTTCCATCTCCCTGAGTGTCACCCCAGAAACAATTTATAGCAAACTGAACGTCGTCTTTAACATCATATCCTTTACCTTTTTTCATTGCTGACCAATCCCAAAATTTATGCTTATGCCAACCTGCTTGAGATGTACTTAAATCTATGTAGTGACTATGTGCAGGTAAATTTTCACCTGAAATCGTTTTACTTCCACCTGTTTCCTTTGAAGAGTTTGCACAATACAAAAACCTGTCGACTATTTGAGTCCAAGTTCCAAAACCAAGTACTACTTCTGGTCTGTAGAGTTCATTGACGTATAAATAGAGCCTATAGGATACAATGTTTGAAGTATTTCTGTCTTTAATGTTTGAAGCTCTGTTTTGTTCTGCTTTCTTGTCATATAAATCTTGAGCAGTGAATTTAATATTATGTTCATCCTTCATGACATAAACTCTTTACATCTAATGTTTTTCATCGTCGTTATGTCGTCATCCGATGTTAAACCTTGTGGAAAGTTAGGAGGTTTACAATATAATGCATCCCCACCAGTTTCTTCAACCGTTCCTTCAATACTTTCTATAGCAACAGTTGTAAAACTTGTATGTGTATGAGTCTTATCTGCTTTCTTCTCTAACTCATCGTTAACATAAGTTTTATCGCTTTAAGGTCTAAACATCCTGAAACCCATCCTGTATCGGCTTTAGTTTTAAAATCTTTGTTGTCCGTTCATGGTACCATTCAACCCTTTCTATAATTTCTTTATCTTTTTCATCCACATATTCCTTATCCGCCTTCTTCTCTAACGCACTAGCCACACAGTCCTTATCCGCTTTATTTTCAAGGCTAACGTTTAAGTCTGTTATTTCAGATATAGAATGTGTATGAGTCTTTTTAGAATATTCTTTGTCAGCTCTTGTCACTTCACTTGACATTTTATTGTCAACATATGTTTTGTCCGCTAGTTCAGGATGAGTATGTTCTTTCGTTGCATATGTTGCATCTGCTCTGTCATGTTCTTCTTGAACTTTTTCAATGACATATTCTTTGTCAGCTTTGTTGTCAACATCCGTTTTCAAAAGAAGTTCATTTATAGGTTTCTCGTTTAAAGTTCCTTTTGTTGGATTTATACAGACAGTATGGTTCTTATTGTCTTGAAACAGAAACTCATCTGTCATTGGGTTTAATGTCAGTTTTAAGTTTCCTTCTTTCAATGACTCAGATATCTTAGAATAGTTTGAAAAATTTGTTGTGTTCTTATTTAGAGCTTGCATAATGAGTTGTCGGTTGTGTTGTATTTCTCTCATGGAAGCAATATCTTTCGACATTTTTATTCTAGATAAAATATGCTTCCAATAGAAAAAGAAAATTCAAGAGTTGCTACACTAAACCATTAGATGAACTTTTTACTAATGTCGGTCAAAAGTTTGAGACAGAGACCGTAAAGATGAAGGCTATCGTTTTGACTACCCATTAAGATGGCTAAGAGACCCATCTGTCACAAAAGCTATTGGCTTTCGTAGAATGAAGTTCATTTCAGAAGCCATACATGGTTTCCCATTTACGGTCGGTTTTGAAGTTCGATACTATAACAAAGAAAAACGTATGTATGAGAAATTTGAACAGGGAAAACTTTTACAAGTTAGTTTGCTTGTAAACTTAGAAACAACTCTTCAAGCTTTTCAAGAAAAAATAAACGATATCTATATCGAATATGCAAACCAGTATAACATTGACGAAGGAGAGTACCATCTCGATATTATATATGACAGGAAAAAATGCAACTGTTAAAATCAATAAAATAGAAGACCTTGGAGAAAACGTTTATATTTCTACAAAATATAACAACTTGGCATGGTATAGATTTATGAGGATGTTAAATCAGCCTGCAGCATATCCAGTACACCCAGACTTTTATGAAGTCGAAAACCCTAATGGAACATATGAAAATGTTTTCGACCCAGATGCTATTATTGTTCATGCTTCATTTTCTGGTGCGCAAAACTCTTTCTTATGCTTGGCAAATGACTTTTACGAAAAACTACAAAGTTATACGAACCACCAAGTGGAAGTATTTCAGACTTTCAAGTATGGTTTACTACAGATGGAAGAAAAAGAATAATTCCATTATACCATGCGTTTTACTTAGAACTTAGTTTCATATACAACTACTATCGAACGGTAAAAATATAATTTTTTAATACGGTTGAGGTGTTGGATTTGGTTGCCAACTAGACTGTGGTGCAGGTTCAGGCTGTTGTATAACAGGAGCTTGTTCTTCTGGTTCAGGGTCTTTAGGTATAATACCAACGAACTGACCTACTCTTTTACCAATATTTTTGACTCCGTTCCAAATTCCTCTTCCTACGGTTTTTATTCCATTCCATATACCTCTTCCAACATTTCGAAAGAAGTTTCCAATACTACTGAAGAAACCCATTTTACTATATGTAAAAATCTAATGTCGCCTAGTCTCTTACGTTTCCTGTTGAGTTCCATAGCATTCTTTAACTGGAGCTCATACATTCTGTTTCTCCTCTGGTAGAAAACATATTCTGGGTCAACTCCTGTGTTCGCGTCATCTGCATAAAGTTGTTTATATCCCACTTCAGGGTTTGTATAAAACTCTTTCCATCTCATATTTGCATACCATGGTGGCAAACCTAACGCAGCGTCATTTGACATGGCAGTTTGCATTTGTACATCTGTTGGCACTTGACCATAGTTTGCCATTGCAGTTTGTATTCTAACTTCATTTGGAATATTCTCTGGGTTTGGTTGTCCAGGTTGCTGTGCATTCGCTAAGTTCTGTGCGTCCATTTAATATTAGATAAAAAATATCTCTTACGAGTAATATACTGAACATTTGCAGGCATTGGTTCATCTTCATATTCTCTGTACTTTTCTGCCACGTCAAATAAATAAATGACACAATGGAAAAAACCTAAAAACAAGTAGTCCTATTTCAAACCACATTTACTTACTAATAAAATTTCTTTATTGTGACACTTTCTCCAGTTTATAGGACCTCTCTCATATTCTATCTTGTCATATATAAACTCATAGTCATGTATGTCCTCTAACCATCTCATAACGGTTTCCAAACCACTTTTATCGGATGTAAAGTAAAAGCATGGATGGTTATGTATAACGTCTAAAGTTTCTAAAGAGTCTCTCAAAGTCCAGTCTACTTGGTATTTGAAAATCCCATGTGTTATAGAACGGCGGGTCCACTATAAAGAAAACATTTTCCTTGTCTTTATATTTTTCATACAACTCTGTCCAATGACATCTCACAAACTCTATACCCTCAATATATTTTTCTATGTCCTCTTTGAAAACATTTGTTATAGTTAAGATATAAAACTTTTGACATAAGTGTTTCAATGTCATGAACTCTTATAGAACCACTATATAATAGTCTAGCAGATATACTATCCCAGTCTATATATTCTGCTTTTTTCAAAAACCTCTCTCACAATATTTTTCTTATCTAATGTATACGTTCCATCTTACCTATAGGTATCTTTTTCTTTTAACTCTTTCAATATATTGTTTGTGTCTGGAATATGTTTGAGACGGTCCATATAGTTTGTCGAAGTCATTGCATATAATCTTTGAGTCTGGGAATATTTATATGGCACAAATGGATATATAGAAACTTCCACCGAAACAAATCTACAAATGTTAGACCATTCGGTAGTTTCTTAAGTTCTCTCAATATAATATCTTTACATCTACTCTTATTTCCAAAGAACGGTAACGGTGGTTTTGTAAAATTCATTTATATATAATAATAAAAATGTTTTTTCCTGAAAAGTGACAGAAAAGTGACAAAACATGAAAACATATATAATTTGTGAAAAGCTCCTGGAAGACCCGTATATAAGAACTTCATTTATACTAAACATCTTCAGGGCTAGAAGGGGCGCAGCCCCTGGAAGCCCTCTGAATATAAACTTCATTTATACTAATCATCTTCAGGGCTAGAAGGCACGAAGTGCCTGGAAGCCCCAATACCTTTTTTTTTTTTTTTTTTTTTAGTTACCAATTGATGAGTATATAATGCTGCAATGATATCTTCCCATCTCAAAAATAAAGGAGAATGAATAATGACTCCCGTTTGTTACTATAAAAAATCTGCCAGCTAAAAAAACAGTTATTTTGTCTCATTACTCATCAGATTTATTCGTTTTTCTTGACATTATCATCAAGGGTCCATCAATATATAATGACATATGGATGTGTATATACAGGAATTATAGTTCAATTTTCATGGCTAAAAATAAATGACAAGAAGTAGAATGTCAGATTATTTCAAAATTTCTGACATACATAATTAATGTGAAATTTTTAAAATTATATATTGAACTGGAATTTTCGAATGAATAAATAAACTCAATCATTAAATTTGACACAGATAATAAGTAGTCATTCAGATTTGCATCTATTATTTTTAGTTATTAAATCAAATTGAGCATTTTTTATTTGAACTGACATTGGGCAAAGAACTTTCAATTTGGCAAACCCAAATTTTAGCTAAAAGTGACAGGGAAAAAAACGTTTAGTATTAAAAAAAAGACCGATGAGAGCTTCGTTCGAAATATAGAGGGAACTGAGAATGCGCAACCATTCTCAGGGAATATTGAATGCTATTCCCGTTCCCTCTGTATGGAAAATTGAGGTTTTCAAAGGGAGTTAAAATAATATCAAATTTATACTAATTTACTTCAAAATACAAAAGTATTTGACAGCTAAAATTAGTTACTTTAGCAAGCCTATCAATACCCTTTTACGATTATTGCTACTTTTTCGAAATAAAAGTAAAAAACAAATTTATACTAATTTACTTCAAAATACAAAAGTATTTGACAGCTAAAATTAGTTACTTTAGCAAGCCTATCAATACCCTTTTACGATTATTGCTACTTTTTCGAAATAAAATAAATTTATTATCAAAAACCTTTTTTTTCTTAGTAAAAATAAACGAAATTTTTTACCTTATGAACTTTTGATGGAAATATGCAAATTTAAAATAATAAAGAAAGCCGCGAGCGAAGCGATCGGCTTAGTTCGAAGATTTTGATTCAAATCTTTGCTGATCTGTAATTCGCGGAAGCCGCGAGCGAATCGAGCGGCTTAGGTCTAAGATTTTGATTCAAATCTTTGCTTATATTCCTTAAATTTTTTATGAAACTCGCAACAGTTCCATAAAAAATTTTAAATTCTAAACTGTCGAAATTACCGATCGGTAATCACACCCTTCACGGGTGTGTCACTTTTAGCTAAAATTACCCCTACTCCTTTCAATTTTATAGCTTTTTTATTTTTTATTTTTTCACAAAAAATTGAGAGGATCATCTTGACATTATACAAGGTGATTATAACTATAGAAAATCAATCATAAGGTATAATAATATGAAATATTATCGATTCATATGTATAGATGACTTTGAAAAACGACTCAAAATGTTTCTGAAATATTTATATTTGAATACTTTTATAAAATCATTTTACCATTTTTTTAAATGTTTTCCATATTACTTGCACAACTTTCTCTTTCAGTTTCAGGCAAAGTTGTTGGGGATAATTCGTACATGATTTATGATAAGGACGGAAGGGAGAATTATGAAATAATTAAAGAACCTTATACAAAAGTCAGAATAGATGGTGTTACAAAAAACATTAAAGAAGCCACTGATTTAGGCTACTCCGTTGAAATTTATAATGATGAAAATTCAGATTATGTTATTATTTCACAGACAATTACCAACAAAGGCTCAACGGAAAAGAAAATTGACCTTTGCACAGCATTGAATTTAAAAGATTCTATAGATAATGTTGAAGCATCATCCCTTACAAACTTTGGTTATTATCTTTGGTGGGATCAAACAAATGATCTGACACTAGTTCTGCAAAATCATCCTTGGGTTACAGATATCAGTGCCCAAGACTTTGGAATAGAACCTGAGCCAAGATTCTTCACGAACAATGAGAAAATTTTAGAATACGACTCTGGATTTCCTGAAATTCAATGGATCTCATTCTCATGGCTCAACAAGTATATCCAACCAGGAAAGTCTATCACACTTTCTTACATGTTTTATGAAGAGACATATCAACCGCCATTACTTAAACTTGATAAATCTCTGATTTCAGAAGAAACAGATTCCACTGAAGTAATTCAAGTAAAGGGAAGTTTTTATTTCTTAGTTGAACCATACACGGTAGAAGCAGGTTGGGAAATTCATGATTCAAAAGATAAGATAATCAAATATGGCAGCCTTGGCAAATTTACAGTTTCAGAAAAACAAACAAGTATGGATTTTGATGTGTCAATCACACCACCAACAGAACTTGGAAAGTACACATTATATGTTTACACATATACTAATGGTCTTGGCTCATTGCTTTATGAAGAATTCACAATTACAGTTGTTCCACCAAATTATAGACCAAAGTTATACATTGTTCCATCTGAATACCTATATTACATTCCAGATTCTGAAGTTTCTTTCTTGGCTTCAGTCTACGATCAAGATTCAGGTGATAAACCACTCACAGCAAAGGTTTTCTTCAACAATGCAGAAGTTGCAACACAAGAAGTTGCAAACAGCAAGATCTTAAGACATTCAAATTCAAAGTTCCAAAAGACACAGCAGCAGGTGAATATGAAGTCAAAGTCACAGCTACAGATGGCAAGAAGATTGGAACAAAGAAGTTCACAATCACAATCAAGGAATAACACAGTTCTCACAATCGATTTCGAACCAAAACTTAATGCCACATTACAACAAAGGCGACAAGGTCAACTTCACAGCTGTCATCAATGATCCAGATACAAACTTCGATAACAAGTTCACTGTTTCTCTGTTCTACAACGATAAAGTCAAGAAGACGATCACATCAACTAACGATGCAGGATTAGTCAGAGTTCCACTTGATTTCACCATCCCAACAACAGCAACAACAGAAACAAACACAACAGCCGAAATCAAGATCGTAGTCACAACACCAACCGAATCCTCTGAAAAATTAACAAATATCAACATCTATCAAGATGTTATCGCAAGTGATTCTGCAACAGGAAAGATTGCTACAAAGGAAGCTAAAAAGAAGACCGCCCTTGTTGCAGTTCTCTGTGTCTTAGCTGTCATTGCTGTTGTTGTTGCGGTAGTCGTTATTATTCTTTGGCTGAGAAAATAAAAAAATTCGGAGAATAAATTAAATTTTATGCTTTAAACACACTTTTTAAAATTACTTATAAATTATCTTTCAACAAGTTGAAATTACTCAATCTAGGATTGTTTTTCATGTGAAATTCTTGTTGTGCAACTAAATCTTAATTGCCAACTTGGAATAAAGATCATAGAACAAGACAAGCTTTTTTATAAATGAAGCATCTAATTAATAAACATTACTAATAAATTTTTTTTCAAATGATCCCATAACATAAGTTACCAATTGATGAGTATATAATGCTGCAATGATATCTTCCCATCTCAAAAATAAAGGAGAATGAATAATGACTCCCGTTTGTTACTATAAAAAATCTGCCAGCTAAAAAAACAGTTATTTTGTCTCATTACTCATCAGATTTATTCGTTTTTCTTGACATTATCATCAAGGGTCCATCAATATATAATGACATATGGATGTGTATATACAGGAATTATAGTTCAATTTTCATGGCTAAAAATAAATGACAAGAAGTAGAATGTCAGATTATTTCAAAATTTCTGACATACATAATTAATGTGAAATTTTTAAAATTATATATTGAACTGGAATTTTCGAATGAATAAATAAACTCAATCATTAAATTTGACACAGATAATAAGTAGTCATTCAGATTTGCATCTATTATTTTTAGTTATTAAATCAAATTGAGCATTTTTTATTTGAACTGACATTGGGCAAAGAACTTTCAATTTTATAGCTTTTTTATTTTTTATTTTTTCACAAAAAATTGAGAGGATCATCTTGACATTATACAAGGTGATTATAACTATAGAAAATCAATCATAAGGTATAATAATATGAAATATTATCGATTCATATGTATAGATGACTTTGAAAAACGACTCAAAATGTTTCTGAAATATTTATATTTGAATACTTTTATAAAATCATTTTACCATTTTTTTAAATGTTTTCCATATTACTTGCACAACTTTCTCTTTCAGTTTCAGGCAAAGTTGTTGGGGATAATTCGTACATGATTTATGATAAGGACGGAAGGGAGAATTATGAAATAATTAAAGAACCTTATACAAAAGTCAGAATAGATGGTGTTACAAAAAACATTAAAGAAGCCACTGATTTAGGCTACTCCGTTGAAATTTATAATGATGAAAATTCAGATTATGTTATTATTTCACAGACAATTACCAACAAAGGCTCAACGGAAAAGAAAATTGACCTTTGCACAGCATTGAATTTAAAAGATTCTATAGATAATGTTGAAGCATCATCCCTTACAAACTTTGGTTATTATCTTTGGTGGGATCAAACAAATGATCTGACACTAGTTCTGCAAAATCATCCTTGGGTTACAGATATCAGTGCCCAAGACTTTGGAATAGAACCTGAGCCAAGATTCTTCACGAACAATGAGAAAATTTTAGAATACGACTCTGGATTTCCTGAAATTCAATGGATCTCATTCTCATGGCTCAACAAGTATATCCAACCAGGAAAGTCTATCACACTTTCTTACATGTTTTATGAAGAGACATATCAACCGCCATTACTTAAACTTGATAAATCTCTGATTTCAGAAGAAACAGATTCCACTGAAGTAATTCAAGTAAAGGGAAGTTTTTATTTCTTAGTTGAACCATACACGGTAGAAGCAGGTTGGGAAATTCATGATTCAAAAGATAAGATAATCAAATATGGCAGCCTTGGCAAATTTACAGTTTCAGAAAAACAAACAAGTATGGATTTTGATGTGTCAATCACACCACCAACAGAACTTGGAAAGTACACATTATATGTTTACACATATACTAATGGTCTTGGCTCATTGCTTTATGAAGAATTCACAATTACAGTTGTTCCACCAAATTATAGACCAAAGTTATACATTGTTCCATCTGAATACCTATATTACATTCCAGATTCTGAAGTTTCTTTCTTGGCTTCAGTCTACGATCAAGATTCAGGTGATAAACCACTCACAGCAAAGGTTTTCTTCAACAATGCAGAAGTTGCAACACAAGAAGTTGCAAACAGCAAAGATCTTAAGACATTCAAATTCAAAGTTCCAAAAGACACAGCAGCAGGTGAATATGAAGTCAAAGTCACAGCTACAGATGGCAAGAAGATTGGAACAAAGAAGTTCACAATCACAATCAAGAATAACACAGTTCTCACAATCTATTTCGAACCAAAACTTAATGCCACATACAACAAAGGCGACAAGGTCAACTTCACAGCTGTCATCAATGATCCAGATACAAACTTCGATAACAAGTTCACTGTTTCTCTGTTCTACAACGATAAAGTCAAGAAGACGATCACATCAACTAACGATGCAGGATTAGTCAGAGTTCCACTTGATTTCACCATCCAACAACAGCAACAAACAGAAACAAACACAACAGCCGAAATCAAGATCGTAGTCACAACACCAACCGAATCCTCTGAAAAATTAACAAATATCAACATCTATCAAGATGTTATCGCAAGTGATTCTGCAACAGGAAAGATTGCTACAAAGGAAGCTAAAAAGAAGACCGCCCTTGTTGCAGTTCTCTGTGTCTTAGCTGTCATTGCTGTTGTTGTTGCGGTAGTCGTTATTATTCTTTGGCTGAGAAAATAAAAAAATTCGGAGAATAAATTAAATTTTATGCTTTAAACACACTTTTTAAAATTACTTATAAATTATCTTTCAACAAGTTGAAATTACTCAATCTAGGATTGTTTTTCATGTGAAATTCTTGTTGTGCAACTAAATCTTAATTGCCAACTTGGAATAAAGATCATAGAACAAGACAAGCTTTTTTATAAATGAAGCATCTAATTAATAAACATTACTAATAAATTTTTTTTCAAATGATCCCATAACATAAGTTACCAATTGATGAGTATATAATGCTGCAATGATATCTTCCCATCTCAAAAATAAAGGAGAATGAATAATGACTCCCGTTTGTTACTATAAAAAATCTGCCAGCTAAAAAAACAGTTATTTTGTCTCATTACTCATCAGATTTATTCGTTTTTCTTGACATTATCATCAAGGGTCCATCAATATATAATGACATATGGATGTGTATATACAGGAATTATAGTTCAATTTTCATGGCTAAAAATAAATGACAAGAAGTAGAATGTCAGATTATTTCAAAATTTCTGACATACATAATTAATGTGAAATTTTTAAAATTATATATTGAACTGGAATTTTCGAATGAATAAATAAACTCAATCATTAAATTTGACACAGATAATAAGTAGTCATTCAGATTTGCATCTATTATTTTTAGTTATTAAATCAAATTGAGCATTTTTTATTTGAACTGACATTGGGCAAAGAACTTTCAATTTTATAGCTTTTTTATTTTTTATTTTTTCACAAAAAATTGAGAGGATCATCTTGACATTATACAAGGTGATTATAACTATAGAAAATCAATCATAAGGTATAATAATATGAAATATTATCGATTCATATGTATAGATGACTTTGAAAAACGACTCAAAATGTTTCTGAAATATTTATATTTGAATACTTTTATAAAATCATTTTACCATTTTTTAAATGTTTTCCATATTACTTGCACAACTTTCTCTTTCAGTTTCAGGCAAAGTTGTTGGGGATAATTCGTACATGATTTATGATAAGGACGGAAGGGAGAATTATGAAATAATTAAAGAACCTTATACAAAAGTCAGAATAGATGGTGTTACAAAAAACATTAAAGAAGCCACTGATTTAGGCTACTCCGTTGAAATTTATAATGATGAAAATTCAGATTATGTTATTATTTCACAGACAATTACCAACAAAGGCTCAACGGAAAAGAAAATTGACCTTTGCACAGCATTGAATTTAAAAGATTCTATAGATAATGTTGAAGCATCATCCCTTACAAACTTTGGTTATTATCTTTGGTGGGATCAAACAAATGATCTGACACTAGTTCTGCAAAATCATCCTTGGGTTACAGATATCAGTGCCCAAGACTTTGGAATAGAACCTGAGCCAAGATTCTTCACGAACAATGAGAAAATTTTAGAATACGACTCTGGATTTCCTGAAATTCAATGGATCTCATTCTCATGGCTCAACAAGTATATCCAACCAGGAAAGTCTATCACACTTTCTTACATGTTTTATGAAGAGACATATCAACCGCCATTACTTAAACTTGATAAATCTCTGATTTCAGAAGAAACAGATTCCACTGAAGTAATTCAAGTAAAGGGAAGTTTTTATTTCTTAGTTGAACCATACACGGTAGAAGCAGGTTGGGAAATTCATGATTCAAAAGATAAGATAATCAAATATGGCAGCCTTGGCAAATTTACAGTTTCAGAAAAACAAACAAGTATGGATTTTGATGTGTCAATCACACCACCAACAGAACTTGGAAAGTACACATTATATGTTTACACATATACTAATGGTCTTGGCTCATTGCTTTATGAAGAATTCACAATTACAGTTGTTCCACCAAATTATAGACCAAAGTTATACATTGTTCCATCTGAATACCTATATTACATTCCAGATTCTGAAGTTTCTTTCTTGGCTTCAGTCTACGATCAAGATTCAGGTGATAAACCACTCACAGCAAAGGTTTTCTTCAACAATGCAGAAGTTGCAACACAAGAAGTTGCAAACAGCAAAGATCTTAAGACATTCAAATTCAAAGTTCCAAAAGACACAGCAGCAGGTGAATATGAAGTCAAAGTCACAGCTACAGATGGCAAGAAGATTGGAACAAAGAAGTTCACAATCACAATCAAGAATAACACAGTTCTCACAATCTTTTCGAACCAAAACTTAATGCCACATACAACAAAGGCGACAAGGTCAACTTCACAGCTGTCATCAATGATCCAGATACAAACTTCGATAACAAGTTCACTGTTTCTCTGTTCTACAACGATAAAGTCAAGAAGACGATCACATCAACTAACGATGCAGGATTAGTCAGAGTTCCACTTGATTTCACCATCCCAACAACAGAAAC